CAAGTTTAAAATAACATTAAGAATGTAATAAACATCAAGTGCTAAAGGAACAGAGCTACATCTGTTAGTTTGAGCAGACAATGAGAGAAAAGCATTTTAGGCTACATTTATGTCAGACTGAATGACACTTCTACTTGTTCATGCAAGCAAAAACAGCTAAGTCAACTAAGTTCACATCATTAACTGCTATATAATAAGATATAGTAGTGGCATAACATAAGGATACCATTATTACTACTGTACTATGATTACTGTTTTCATATTCTTTTTTATATTCATTTATTTTTGTTATTTTTTATTATCATGTTTTGTAGCAGGGGAAAAGTTATAGTTTATTTCAATAAAGCCTTTGATCCAAGAAGAACAGGATGTTAGGAGGGGAACGGGATCTGGTGTGTTTACACCTGTGTGTTCTGACGTCATGACATGCTGAAGATGCTGTTACCACAGAGACTGATTTTGGGGCATTTTACAAATTTTAGACCATTAAGATATTTTTATCCAAATCATTAAAAAAGTGTCAAATTTGAAGCCTTCAAATCAAAGTAACACCTTTTTTTTCAAATTCATACACCAGTCGTTAATAATTTCTACACCTCTCCCGGAAAATTTAAAGCATACAAACAATTTACGGGGAAAAATATTGGAATACGCATATTTTGATAACATTAAAGCGTGATATTCACACTGGAACTTATTAAATTATTACAGCCATTTAGTAGCTCTTAAAATAACTGAAGAAATGTTAAAAGTACCTGCAGCGAAGTCCAGGGGCTGTCGAGTCCACGACGAGCCATCTTCAGGCTTTGCTGTATGAAAAACAAGTACAAACAATCCAAAGATGAAGTACTTGTTGTGGCGAGCAAGTCAAATCCGCTTTCAGTAAATATTTTCCGAAAACTTAACTTTCCACAGGCTGAGGTTGGAGCAGGTCAAAACAAGTCCAATAGCAAGTGTAAAGGGACGAATGGAACCTTGTGCAGCATTTATATACCCTCCGCAGGCCATGGTTACGGTTGCCAACATTTTCTTTTAAAAGCTAACAATAACTTAGCGTTCTCGCTACTCACTATGCTGTTAAACAGCTATATGTTAGCAATGACAACATTTAACAATGCTAGCCGTGCTGATTAGCATTCTTACCCTTCCTATCCCCCCTCCTCATCCTCCTCTCCCTCCTCCTCGTCTTCGTCTTGGTCCTCCTTGTCCTTGTCGTCCTCTTCATCCTACTTCTTCACCTCCACGTCTTCTTCCTCGGCCTCCTCTACTTCTCACTCTTTCTGCTCCCTCCATTGTACTCTACACACACAGCTTACCTGTATTATAGTGCTTAGGCTGATTGCAAAGTGAACTAATTATCTAAAAAAGTTTTGACATGTGAAAGTGTGCCAGACAGTTGGCAAAATAGTGTTAATGATAGCCATACATGTGTATACTTTTGCTAGGAGTGCATTGATCATTTGGAAATTGAGTGTAAAGCAGTGAGTTGTGTTTACAGTTCTGCAAAAAGAGTGCTGTGCAGTGAATTGTAGCTACAGGTTTGCAAAGTGTGTGTTACAAAATTGCAAACTGAGTGCAAAGCAGTGTTTGTGCTCTTAGTTTTGCAAACTCAGTGAGTGGTTTTGCTATAAGTATCAATAGTTTTAGAAATTGTGCTATAAGAATCACAGTTAGGGTTTAAGCATTCAGAAAAAACTGTAATACCCACAAATTATTTCAGAATTTTTAGTAACATAATTTAATGTCTTGTTTGGATCTTGTCGTTGTAGTTACGGATGATTGGTTGTGAGCTCATCCTGACTCAGTACTGGCAAAGGTCGTGTCTAAATTGGCCACTTGATTAAGAACAAGTTTCTCACTATGTAAATTATTTTAATACTTCAAAGCTCATTTAACAGCTCAAGGATCCACAAAGGTTTATATCTTCAGTATTGTAGTTAGACTAATGGAAATTGAAAAAAATGGCCATTGGTTTGTCAATGAGTTTTGCAACTAAACTGATTTCGCTTCAGGATGCATCTAAAATGCATTCAGGCTGGCTGTGTGGTGTCGTGGAAAAGTGGTACGTGCAAAAACCTTTTTTTGTCTGTCTTTGAGGGTGGGGGAAGACGCTTAATGTTTTTGTAAGTATGACTAATACTTACAAAAGTATTAGTATACTTTGACTTCTAAGGTATACACACACACACACACACACACACACACACACACACACACACACAAGAGCAACAACATAGAAGAAGAAGAGGGGTATAGTTTACTACACGTCATAAAAACACAATCAATTATCTTCCAACTGCATCTTTCTGTTCTGACTTTAGAGTCCTTGTTTGTTTACTGAACCGTACTTTGGAGTCATACTGTTGTGATACTGGAGAGGAAAGGGTAAGGTGTGAGAGACTAAACCCTCACACACAAAACTTCAAAAATCATGTGTCATTGTAGATAAACTGATCTACAATGTGTTAGTAAAGAGTGACTTGCACTGCAAATTTGTTAAACCATTGCTTAACGGGCCATTAAGCAATGGTTTAACAAATCTCCTTTAACATTCACAGTGACTAAACCAGCTGTCTTACCAGCTGTTATATTCTTTAAACTTAAAATAAACCCCTGAAATTAGAGTTTGGTGTTTTAAGTCACCTATTAAAAAACACGAGTGAACACTTCTTTCTCTCAGCAGCATTACTGAAGTGACACTTTGATGATGCTTCATATCACAGTCTTTATGATGGAAAAAAACATGCAGATGTCTGCACTGCCACTGTCATGAAAATGTCCAGAGCCAGGGTTCAAGCTTCCTCTTCAGTTATCATTGATCATTAATATGGAGGCCATAGAGCGTGCGCAGTGGGGACCGCGTGGCCCGGAAGTGCCGCTTTTTCGGATGAGCGAACGCGCGTGCATCAGTGTGCATGTGTGCGTCCTCGTACGTGCAAAAGGTGCCCTTTCTGGCCGTCACTGGTGGAGGTGTGGGGGGCATACCTCCCACCCACAAAGGTGCCCCTTATATTCTTCTACTGTTAAAATATGTTATGAATACATAGAATAAAGACATTTTCCATCACAGTGTTATTGCTCATCAAGTCAAGCTGTAAAACCAAGAGGGTATTTAGAAGTTCTTTGAGAAAATTCTTATACGTATCAGAGCTTTTCTATTGGGATAACAGAGACTTACAGAACGTCAGGTGGTTTTCATGCTAGTTGTAATAGTGAGAAGAGATTAGTAGTATAACTTTGTAATAAAAAATAATATTAATAAAGAAATGGTTTACAAATATGAATGTTTATTTATGTGCAGAAATAAAATGGAAAACAGCAGACTTAAAAATTGCTCAAATTAAAATGTAACGAAAACAAAATTGAGAACTGAATGTGGAAGGAACTAAACAAAACTTAAAGAAGAAACCCGAATCACAAGATCCAACAAATGATCAGGGAAAGATAAAGGAGGACAGGACTTTATATACATCGAGGACTAGTTGAGGTTTAGGATAAACACAGATGAAGACAATATGGGCAGATTGAGAAATAACAGAATAAAAAGTAGGACTAATGTGAGACATGAAAGAAAAGTAAACTTCAAAGTAAAACAGGAAATAAAAAACTGAAGCTAAATTAAAGTGAACAGCAAGTGTAAGCAGGGTTTAAATTACATTTAACCTCCACATGTCTTCTGCTGGACAGGAACAACTTTTTGTTGTTAAGTTGCAAATATGTTAATAATGTACAAATGTTAGCGGAAATGTTTTTGTAAAATATAAATGTATAACTATATCTTTAATATCTATACCAGGCTTATGTGGGTACATTTAGATATTCACACTTCAATCAATCAATCAGAACTTTATTTGTCACATGTAAGTTGCCCTCCAGTGATCACATTCTGGAAACACACTGGTCTGATTTCATAAAGAAAATAAAGTTTCTATTTACATTTATTTATATAGTTTTAATGGAGGATATAAAGACGTGCTTCTGGATTTGAAACCAAATGTTTGTTATAATAATGGTATCTATCTAATAGTTTATGATAATTAGCACGTCGCTATCAATCTGTTGCATGCAAACACAAAATTAGTCTTTAACTTAAATGCGAGTCCTTTTTGTTAACTTGAACTATGTGACTGGGAAACTGAGAGTAGAGTAGAGGCTGCTGGGATCAGCAGTGGCTGCAGCAGAAGAGGAATGAGCCTTCACAGTGCTGTAGGTCACTGCATCACCTTCATCATCACCACGAACCTGGAAAAGTGACATAACACTGTGACCCTGAAGTGGATAAGCGGTTCGATGGAAGTAGTGGAAGGGCGCTTAGAGATCACATGCTTCTGTGTTCAATACATTATTTTTTACTTTCAAAGAAATTGTGGATCAAATATGATGGATTCTTTGTTCTGTGTGTGTGTGTGTGTGTGTGTGTGTGTGTGTGTGTGAGTGAGTGAGAGAGAGTGTATGTGTATGTGTGTCTGTATACGTGACTTCCTGCTTACAAACGTTTTAACCGCATCTCTAGTCATAAAAGGGTCATCTCCCCTCAACCTCGTATATGGCTTAACCTCTCTAACAGTCCACCATTTACATGGTGAGCCCATAAAGGGCAGGAAGTGAACACTCCTTACCAAATAAGGAAACCAGAATCTTACATAGATTGTGCCTGCAGTTGAAAACTATAGCTAGTAACATCCCCAACATCCTACATGTGGGGGAGGAACAGAAAATATCTGAACATACAGTTCAAGACAAGGTCCAAGCACAATAATGACAACTTTTAACAAAATCACTCCAACACACACTCCCCTAGCCTGGCACATTGGTTTTCTCCAGGAGCTCATAAGCAGGTGATTGAGCTGCTTTTACTCTTTACAAAGTGAGTACTGTTAACACTTCTCTTTTTACATATACAACTAATTTAGGTTACAGACAAATGATTAAATGTGAACAGCTCTAACACAGGTTCTTTTCCTGACACGGGTAGGATGGCTAGTCCCCTGTCTCTTCACCTTTAACGAGTCACTTAAATAACAACCCAAAAAGCCTAATAAAGAATCACAATCAACCAGTGTGTGTTTTTCTTCATTACGGTTTTTAAATACAAATCAGTCAGTCAATTAATAAAAATACAAGTAAGGGTAATGGAACCCCTGGTCTCCATTACACACATAAATACCATAAAGACACTAAGTCGTAGAGCTCTGAACTCCTTGCTTCTATGATATTTACACTTCTTCTTGGCCTTCTCCTTCACTCTGAGTCACTCCAGGATAAACGCATCAGCTCAGACATACAATAATTAAAATATGTGTAGGTGACCGTTTGGCAGAAGACGATGTCGAGGCGGTACTGCAGTGACACGTCCGTGGCTATCGTCGGGGCGGTGTCCTGCATCAGAAGGAAGTCAATAGACTTCTTGGCTTTGTTGCTCATCATGGCGCTGTAGTCCGTGGGCGTGGCCTGCAAAAAGTGTAAATAAACCATCAGAGACCAAACACAAATATGCCTTCCAACCACTAGTTTAGACAACATCTTGCAAAGAGTGTGTATTTCAGAGTCAAGCTCCAGAACTAGCCACAAATCCTGCTGGAAAGAACCTAAAAATACTTAAAAATACTTGCAGAGATCTCATGGAGCCGTTAACTCAAAAGCCTGGTGTCAGGCATGTTCTTTAATAAATAAGAAACGAGCTGATATGTTACAGACCCCAGTCTTTACGTAAAGAAAAAGCTGACATTTAGAGCGGTCTCGCAGCAGATTTTAAAACAGTGACACTGATTTGTGGGGTTTTTGGGCACAAATTTGAACCTTTTTGTTTTATCCATGTCCTTGAACACAGCTTGTGACTTGGGCGCTTTCATATGTACCGATTCATTTAGGTTTGTGCACTGAGGCCAGATTTAGGTATTAAAAACGAGTCAGTCATAACACTTCTTACATTAGTTAAAAAGCTGAGCTTACACTAAACCAACATTTAAATTTCCCCTTGTGGGACTAATAAAGGTATATCATATCATATCATATCATATCATTACTAAAGTATTGCTGCAACATTGTAAAGACAAAGATGACACACAGACCAGACATAAAACACTGAACACTTTTTAAAGACGAGTCATTTAAGAGTATTTTCTCATAGAATAAAGTCGGCTGATATGGTGAAGGAAAAATCTGCTCACGAATCCTCCAACTTCTTAAAAGTAAGGAGTGACCTGAGCTGGAAATCAACATGAGAGGGATGACTCAAGAAGAAGAAGAAGCAACAAGAAAAGAAAAACAGAGTTCAGAGTGTAGTTAAGATATCAAGCTGTATCCACAATGTGTGCCAAGAAACTAAGCTTGTCTGTTGTCATGCTAAAGAAATAAAAAATCTGGAATCAGAAAACAGCCAATAACTGCTGATCAACTCACCCACTCCTCTTCGTGCCAGTCCACGTGCAGTGACGACTGGCTGTTGTGACCGCTGTACTTTGCTCTCAGCGTATCCTTGTCATTGCGGAGCACTACTTGTTCAGACTCAGCGGAAGGAGAAGCTTTGGTTGCGATGTACTCGTACTGCGTTCAGGGCCTAAATAGCTGAAGCTAGCAGCTTGCAGCCGCACACTGCCACCAGCTGACGGGTCTGAAAGGAAGAGGGTATGAATGAAATATGAAGCGTCCCCACGTAACGTCAAACACTTTTAGTACCTTGTCAACCAGACTGGCGAGCGTCCACTCCAGTCCGCTGGCCGATTGGTCTTTGGCAGCTTGAGACAGCCTCTCTGCGTAATAGCTGACCTGAGTCTTCAGCGTGTTGACGTAGGCGATGATCTCTTTGGCTCGGACAGTGTCCTGGGGTATGTGGATGATGACTGAGCTGGAGAGGGCACTACTGCAGGGAACAAAGACACACCGACACATCTGTATCCGAGCTGGGACTGAGGACACTCACCAGCCACTTTATTAGGTACATGTGTTCAAAAGCTTGTGGCAGCAATTTAGTGCATTTAGTCAAATAAAGACAATAGAGTGGCCTGCAGGTGTATATTTTTGTAATGTTTCTGTCTTATGCCTGAAATATGCTTCAGCAGGAAATATACGCTGTAACTGGAAACAACAGCGTGATGGACCGGTTTAGTGTTAAGAGGTGTTACATCTGAAGTTAGAACGTAAATTTCCTGCAGAAATCTAAATCAAGCTTCAGAGGTACTGTTCCAAAAGTATAGGGAGGGACGTTACCCACCAGATGTAAAAACAAACACTGTCTGCATGCACATGCCTGCTCTCAATGAGCCTAATCGTGGCTTAGAAAAAACAACGAGGAGCCGACTTCGATAAATGCGATACCACTCGCTTCACAAATTCAGACCATCTGTGTAGAAGAATTTTAGAAACGTCTCATTAATATTGTCAGGATTTGACTTTCCAAGCACAGAAACATGTTTTTGATAGACTTTAAAATGACTGAATGTATACAATGAGCAGTATTCATATACAACTTTGTGACAAAGGATTTGCTCATTTTAAGCTAACACACATTTTAGTTCTATTAGTGAACACATCACCGATGCGCTACGTGCCCTTTTTTCCTTGCATTAACATGATAAGCTGTGCAAAACCCCATTCTTCCAGCTTAAAACTGAAAATACTTTGTTGTACAAATCTTAAGGATAAGATAAGAAGAACTTTATTTATCCCGAGGGAAATTCTTTAGTCATACACATACTCAATGCAGCAAGAGAGACAGAGGAATAAGATATACCATATATACAATAAGAATACTACTAATACAGTAATATACAGTAGGATAGTGCAAAATACAATATCAAATAACTCTAATGAAGTTAGTTCAGTCAAATGAAAACAAGCAAAGCAGTGCAAGGACTCACCATTCCTCCTCATTTACGCTGATTGGAAAAGTAACAAAAGCAAAACTAAGAGGAAGCCATAAAATGGGAACTGAAGTATTAATGCAGAAATTGAAGAAACAAGATGACCAAAAACGACTGTTTAAATACAAATCACAAGACGAATAAAGCAAAATATAAAAACCCAAAACAGGAGCAGAGGTCATCGCTATGCGATTGCATTTGTCCCTCACGTTAACTTTTATCAAGTGGAAAAAAGTGAAGCTGGCGTTCATCCTCCAGCTTCACTGTGCTAATGTTATGCTAACAAAGCTGTGTCGCTAGCAATCACGTAGCACAACATTATATACCAGGTAGTCCAACTTCAGTAACCCTGCAAACGCCACTGCTGTTTAGTTTTCTGTCTTCATTTATGTTGGAAGTGGTAGCAGAGCTGTACGTTTTAATTAGTTTAAAAAATCTCTCAGTCAGAACATGGTATGAAATGTTTAGATGGAAACTAGCAAGCTAACTTCCTGTTAACTTGTAACTCCGTTAAATTTAATAAATTCTGTTTTCATTGATGCATGGATGTTAAACTTAATTGTTACACCTGGTAAAGCAGCAAGGTTGATGATTTCATTAAAGATGAAAGAATTTAGACCGTTTTTAACTCTCAGTGTTCGTTTGACTTTGGGAGCTGAAGCCCACGGAGTTTTGGACCCAGATTACTCCGTGAAGCTCCTCACTACGGCAGCCGTAATGCTCTGACAATCCATCAAGCAGTGCAGCTTACCAAAGTTGTACTAAAACATTTTTTAACAGATTTCTGCACGCCAAAATCGGTTCGAGGTCAGTAAGCACAACCAGAATTCATACATAGGCACAAAATTAATTAAGTGTGTCATATAGTGTGGAAAATATGTTATACAGAAGAAAAGAATATTTCGCGATATATATCGTTACCGCACGTGCTTCAAATTATACCGCAATATGGATTTTAGGCCATATCGCCCAGCCCTAATGTGACGCCCGACTTTACTCTCAACTTACCGTTTCTTTGCTTCCTCAAACTTCTGGATGAGCTTCCTCAGAACGCCATTTTTAGAAACCCTGGCAGTGAGAGGCCGGTGCTCCGACAGTTACGACATCATATGTCTGTTCTGGAAAGACAAACAAGGATGTTTTAGAGGCACAAAAAAAAGTATGTGTGATCACAAGAAGATTTTTTTTAAATCATATGTATTTGTGTCTAAACCAAAACCCATTTCCCCTGTCCAAATCACGTTTTATGTTTTTAAACCCACTTTGCACATAGAGGCATGTTTTGAAAAATTATTCTTACAAAGGGGGAAAGAAACAACTACGCTTAAAATAAAGATGGTATTAGTTTATTTTGTTGCAACCTGTAATTTATTGTAGTTTACTTTTATTTGTTTGCTTTTGGTTTTTTAAAGGTTTGAGGTGTGAAAGAAACTGCAGTGGAGTTTGAAAACAATAAATGGCTGTGTGTGGTTTGAGGATGTGTTTGTGCCGGGGGGCTGCGAAGATTTTCTTGTAAAACAAACAGGGGCCTAGCAAAAAAAAAAAAAAGGTTTGGGAACCACTGGTTTAATGTAACATCCTTTTATTCATCCTCCCTGTCCTATATATCCAGGTTCAAGGTCATGGGTTTGGTCAATCTAAGGAGAGAAACTTAGACCTCCCTTTTGCCAGCCACCTCTTCCAGCTCATCTGGGGGAAAACTAAATTATTTCCAAGCCAACTGTGAAATGTAATCTCTCCACCAAGCACTCAGTTTGCCCTGGGGCCTCCTACCTCCAGGACATGCCTAAAACACCTCATGCAGGTGGTGTCCAGAAGGCATCCAAATCACATGCCAGAATCACATCAGCTGCCTCCTTTCGATGTGAAGGAGCAGTGGCTCTAATCCAAATGCCTCCCCAATGACTGAACTCTTCATCCTATCACAAAGGCAAAGGCTGTCTACCCTTCAGAGAAGGGTTATTTTGTCACTTATATCTGCCATCTCATTCTTTCTGTCACTATCTAAAGCTCACGACCATAGTTGATGGTGGGGAGGTAGATTGACCGATAAATCAACAGCTTCACTTTTATGCTTAACTCTTACTTCAAAACAACAGAGCCCCAATCTGTCTGTCAACACCCCGCTCTGTTCTCCCTTCATTTGTGAATAAGACCTTGAGGTACCAAAATTCTCCATTTGATGCAGCGAGTCATCCCTGACCTGGAGATAGGACTCTGCTCTTTCTTTGCTGAAGACCACGGCCCTTGACTTGAAGGTGCTCACTGTCATTCCTGCAACTTCACTCTTAGATGCAAACCATCCCAGTTGACATCTAAGGCTGTCTGGGAACGTTTAGAGACAGGACACTCTCAGCCATCTGCTCCAGCACTCGTAGGTGGTTCCCATCAGTGGTTAGGAAGCGGCACATCCTCGACATCATGCCGCCAAACACTGAAGAAACACAAAATTCAGTTAGCTGGGATTAGATGAAGACGGATCTGACCAAAGTTTTTCTCTGTGGACTGCCACTCAATCTCCGAGGTAAACAGACACCTCCCATTCACCGGGGACAATCAATTTAACTCAACCTTTTCAGGATATGTGACTGGAAGAGTTAATGAAGCTCTGTAAAATTGTCCACTTCTTTGTAAATGAACCGTCCCATGTTGTGTAGCTCTCTGGATTTTGTACTTATTGGCCTACATATTTATTTATTATACAGGCTATACAGTACATAAGATCAAAACTCACGTTTTATCTAACTAAAGTGTTTAATTATGTGGGCTACAGACTAGGGCTGCCATGATTCCTCGACTAGTCACGATTACTTCGACTATCAAAATCGTCAACAACATATTTAATAGTCGACGCTAGTGGGGCAGCAGATCACGGTTGATCCGTAATCCGAACTGATGTTGAAACGCACGTGATCCAAAGATTCGAAAAAGCAATAGTTATGGTCAGCTCACTGACTTAAAACAGTGATCCGATCCGAGAGATTTTCGATCGGTTGCACCACTAGTCGACGCGTCGTTTGAAACTTTGTAAGATCCCGAAAGACGCAGGAATAAACAGTAGGTAAACAGCAGTGTAATAACAGACTGAAACCGAAGATTGCAGCACTGCATGTACAAGGATGCCAGCTGCAGTTAAACCCTGAAGAAGAAGAAGAAGCAGCAGTCTCCGGTATCGTAGCTGTGTACGAGGCCGATTACGTTACAGCGATGGGAGGAAGGCTGTCCAAATTCGAAGACGCCTCCAAATGTGGTCGACAATGCATTCTTCATTTCCCCAGATTTGAAGGATGGGTCGGGTGTATCCTTTGTTGCCAAACCCGATTCATAGCGCAGCCCAGCCAATTCCAGTTTCCAACAATGGCGGCAGCTACTTAGTTTTAATATTACTCTTATGACTGTTTCTGGGTCACAAAATAAACGTTTAACATATTTTCAGAGAGAATGTAGCTGTGTAAACATCAAACATCTGCTCAGTTTATCAAGACACCACATATTTGCAAAAGTGCACCGACGTTTTCGGAGACGTCTGTTACCCACCAGCTTGATAGCTAGCCGGGGTAAGGCTCACTAGATCCGTGGAGAACAGCAAACACTCGGCACATCGTTTTCAAACCCCCGCGGTCTTTTGCTACTCAGGTTAAACATGATATATAAGTCACTTAGATAACCTAAAAATTTTATTGTTTGGCTTTTTTCAGTGTTTTATTTGTTCCGGAGTAATTCGGTTTGGCTGAGATTAAAGTTATAGATTTTACACATCTGAATAAACGTCAAACAGAAAACTGATTAAACAGAAGTTTGAGATGGTCGAGAATTTACTCCAATGTCCTGTTAAATTTTAGGGAGCAAAGAGCAGACGACTTAATTTATTAAACCACTGAGACAATTTTCAAATTTCATTAAAAGTCTAATCTATCATCTTGTCTTTATTTTTAGTTAGCACATACTTTAAACACTTCAAGCAGTAAGCTAATTATAGTTATATAAGAGCAGATGAATGCTGGTGCAATAAGCCATATGTTTTACGTCCAATGGATACATGATCTGATTAGTCGACTAATCGCAAAAATAATTGATGACTAGTCGACTATGAAAATAATCGTTTGCAGCCCTACAACAGACAATAATCAAGTTTATATGAAAAACTATATTTTTCTATCTCCAAAAGTTGATTCTGTTCATCTGAACGTAGCGTTTTGTGGGAGAAACGTTTCGTCACTCATCCAAGTGACTTCTTCAGTCTCAGCTGACTGCAGGGTTCTCCAAATCTTATAAACAGTACATTTGTATAATGACTGAAACCAGCCCACCGAGGGAACAATGGGCTGGGAGGTCAGTTCCTTAATCATAATTATGCAAATTCTCATGACCGTTGATCAACAACCACTGACCAAAACCCACTGATCAAAGACCACAGATCAATGGCCATGAGTACCATTCACAGAGAGTTGGGGAATGGCTGCAATCACAGCATTGTAAGATGGCGAAACATGTACCTTTAGGCCCCGTTCTCGATTCAGAGATGGTCTTTCCCTTTTCACGTAAATGGCCTCCTTGACTCCGCACTCAAACCAGCGTTCCTCCTGTCCAGGATGTGCACATCCTCATCCTTCAAAGAGTGTCCACTGGTCTGTAGGTGTAAATAGACTGCAGAGTCCTGGCCTGACGAGGTAGCTCTTCTGTGTTGTGCCGTCCGCTTCGCCAGAGGTTGTTTGGTTGCCCCGATGTATAAATCCTGGCAATCCTCCTGGCACTTAACAGCGTACACTATGTTACTCTGTTTGTGTCGGGGGACCCGATCCTTGGGGTGGACCAATTTTTGGCGCAGTGTGTTTTGGGGTTTAAAAGCCACAGAGACCTGGTGTTTAGAAAAAATGCGTCTCAATTGCTCTGATACTCCTGACACATATGGGATCACTACAGGTTTTTGCTTGGGCAGTGGTTGTCCTTCTCTCCTGGATTAGCTGGAGCTTTCTTTAGGTGCCTTTCCCGCTTTGACAGAAGTCCAGCTGGGATAACCACATTTACTCAGGGCCTTCTTGATGTGCTGTTCTTCAGCTTTCCTGGCCGCTGTGTCTGTGGGGATGGTGTTCGCTCCGTGTTGTAGCGTCCTAATGACACCCAGTTTGTGCTCCAGTGGATGATGAGAGTCAAACCTTAGATACTGATCCGTATGTGTAGGTTTACGGTACACGTCACAGTCTAAGAAGGCTAACCTGCCCCTTTTCATATCCTCCCTGGTGAATTTGATGTGTCGGTCCACCGAGTTAATGTGATCCATGAAATGTAGTACGTCCTGAGATTTGATTTTCACCCAGGTGTCATCCACATATCTGAACCAATGGCTTGGTGGTGTTCCAGGGTAGGATAGCAAAGCCCTCTTTTCCACTTCTTCCATGTACAAATTAGCAATGATGGGTGAAACTGGGGAGCCCATGGCACACCTGTGTTTCTGCCTGTAGAACTGACCCTTGTATGTGAAGTAGGTGGAATGAAGACACAGCTCCAAAAGCAAACACACTTGGTCGTTGCTGAGAGTGGTCCTGTTGCTGAGGTTGGGGTCATCCTGTAATCTCTTACGGACTACCTCCAACGCTTCTGTGACTGTTTCAGTCATTATACAAATTTACTGTTTATAAGATTTGGGGAAACCTGCAGTCAGCTGAGACTGAAGAAGTCACTTGGATGAGTGACGTAACGTTTCTCCCACAAAACGCTACGTCCAGATGAACAGAATCAACTTTTGGAGACTTTCCTGGATGATTGAGAATGCATCAAGATGTTATTTTAATGTAATTTTCCTAACCTGACATTTAGCTATTTAGCTAAAATTTGCTTTTATATTCTTATGGAAAAGTCTATTTGTACATTTTTATTTATTTATTTTAATACCAAATATGATTAAAAAAAACAAACAAACAACTTCCACGCTGCTGGCGGCGCGTGTGGAACACATTGGTCTCATCGTCCCGTCCGAACAAACTCTAAACTGTCAACCTAAACATATTTCCTTTGTTTTGCTTCTCCCGGATTGAAATTGGATTCGTTTCAACATTCAAAGGTTTGTTTTTGGCCACCAGATCTCATGTTTATTGGTGTTTTTTGAAGTATTTTGTGACTCAGTCTCATCTACATCTCTTGCTTCTGCGCGGCAGAACGTTCACGTGGAAACTGGGATCGTCACAAATGCTTCAGTTATCGGTATCTGCAGTTAGTGTAGAAATAATAGATTGTTTATTAGGTATTGAGGTCATAGGGAATGTAGTTTATTAGTGGGTGTCATAGTAGGATTTTGTTGTAGATAGAATGTAGCAATACACAATAAAAAATAGTCCTGGAAGGGGGGAACAAAGAACTGGATCGCAGGGCAGTGGGACATCTAACCCCCACCCTCAGGACAGTAGCAAGAGTTACTGAGGGTGAGGGGCAGACAATGGTGGATGGACATTTCCTTAAAAGGAGATGGGGGTCAGGGTGTTAGCATACCTGGCCACTGTACCAGTGTTTTTCCACTGTGGGGGGTTTACTGTAGGAGGAGGAGACCAGAGACTATAACTGTAGCTGCTGTGTAAAACTCTTCAGATCAACTTTAGAATAGGACTGCACTGTATGTAGTGTTGATCTCCAAACGCGCATTTGTATTGGGATTGGGAAATAAAGTGATACTTTGATACTTGGAAACATCTCAGCGTGATCTCTACCAGGACCAAAAGAATTGCAGAGACCGGCATTAGCTTCAGCTGTAATCACTACAAAATATGGCAACCCTGATCCTGGAGGACGGGACGACGTTCAAAGGCCGCCAATTTGGTGCAAGCATGTCGGTATCCGGAGAAATTGGTACGTGATTTATACTGTTTTAATTCACCTCAGACTCTCAGTTTATTATTGTGCATAGTCCACCTGTGTATAATATAACTCAGCATGGGTTAAACATTTGCTTTGGTACATTGTGTAATCTGGATGTGTGGTGTGGTTTGCCCCTTTGTTCCAAGACGCTCATGGTTCAGAGTTGTAAAGCGCCAAATCCTCCTAACGTTTCCCCCCCAGTGCCAAACTCCATTGAAAAAGAGTGGAATTTGGTGACGCCATCACAGCCATGCGCCCACCTCTACCTTCAGCGCCCACCTGTGTGTATTTTGGCAGGCAGATGTGACTAGGAAACTGCTTGCTGTGTCGTAATAAGCATGCCGAATTAAAGATAAGATAATAGTGATTTTGGATCAGGTCAGATTTTGACATTCAGTATGCGTGACTGCAGAGATGAGTCACGCAACGTTAAAATGATAAATAAAAATGTAAGCGTATGCTGGATGGAGGACGTATACCCGGGTGGAATGCGACTGTATTCCAGCCAGGTGTTATAATCCCTTCAAACGTTTATTACAGAAACACAAGTAGGTAGAACACAATAAAATAATCGACTATAGAGATCGAAAAACACATTTCGTTCTCAATAAACAGTCATATGTAGACAGTTAAAGATGCCGCATGAGTTCATTTAATCAAATGGGAAATACTGGTAATTAATGCACTTTCTAGTCTGAGTGATCACTCAGACTACAAGAGACTCCACATTTATCTGTATTTTCCAACAGCAACGACTGAAATAATTTTAATATCAGGTAATATGGGATGTCTTAATAATGAGACTGTTTATTATGAACTACAAGAAAAAAATTGGATATCGTCTCATGAGATACAACACTTGAGATACAAAGATATAATTGTACTAAATATGAGAGAATCATAATTATGAGATAAAAAGTCATCCAAGTCCTAAACCATAAGAGTTTCATTGTTATTGAAAGTGCATCAGTGTGCATTAAAAAGAAAAGAACTCAGTTTGCTAATATTCTCTGACTCTAAAGAAAAAACCTAATTATTATTAACTGTCTGGCAGATTTAAGCTCTTGTAGTTGATATGATGTACTCAAGAATGTTTTGTGTGTTTAGTGTTTCAGACGGGGATGGTGGGATACCCCGAGGCTCTTACTGATCCATCCTACCGCTGCCAGCTGCTGACCCTCACTTACCCTCTGGTTGGCAACTATGGTGTGCCAATGGATGAAGAGGGAGAGTTCGGGCTGAGCAAGGTGAGCGGTTATTTAAACTCCAGGTGAAAATTAATTTGCAAACTTATTAACATATTTAAAGTGGAAAAGCGAGTCAGGATTTTTCTTCTTTTCTTCTGTGGGACGGTTTTATCTGAATGAAAGAAGTCTTAACTCTGATAAAACACACTGTCTCATCTGTTGTTGTCTTGTTCAGTGGTTTGAGTCATACAAGATCCACGCTGCTGCTTTGATTATTGGAGAACTGTCTGAAAGTCCCAGTCACTGGAGTTCAGCCAAGTCACTGGACCAGTGGCTCAAAGAGCAAGGCATTCCTGGATTACAAGGTCAGAAACCCAGAATAAAAATGGGCGTAATTTAATTGGAAAACTGCTCAGCATCTGTAATATATATTAATGCATAAAATAATCAGATGCAAGCTTTTCAATTTAATGCTACAAACTGTTTCCATTTTCTTCAGGTGTTGACACCCGCTGCTTGACCAAAAAGATCCGAGAGAAGGGGACCCTGTTGGGGAAGCTGATAGTGGACGGGACTCCTGAGGAAAGTATTCCCTTCGATAATCCCGACAAGAGGAACCTGGTCCGAGAGGTCTCCATGAAGGTAACCCACCAGGAGTTTTGTTACAGTCCCATCGAAGCTCTGCCAGCTCTCGAGTGCTAATGGAGGGCGTTATTTATGTTACTGATAAACTAGAAACTTGGAGATTTGATCTGTGGATCTAATTTTGTGAAGGTTTTTTTAAAGCTCTAAAACATAGGAAAAGTTTAGCGCTCACACTTCAGCTCAAGTAAGAGGTTTTAAACTAAATAAAAAGCTTTTGTCTGTAGTTGTCTCAAAACATATTGTTTAGCAGGTAGCTTGCTGCTTGTTTTGTGCCTGTCAGATATTTAGATGTTTCTCTGTTTGGTTGTCTCCAGGAGCCAAAAGTGTTCAATCATAGCGGCAGCTTTCATATCACAGTGGTGGACTGTGGCATCAAGTACAACCAGATCCGCTGCCTGGCTCAGAGAGGAGCCCGTGTTACTGTCGTACCCTGGGACCACCCGCTGGACACCGCCGGTCAGGAACACGCGCTATGTCGGGGATTTTTCTTCAGGGAACTCGTACCACTTTTATCAGTGGTTACATAAATAATTGTTTCTCATCTTTTTCCAGATTTTGATGGTTTGTTCGTCAGTAATGGTCCCGGGGATCCCCAGCTCTGTCAGGCCACCATCAACAACGTGAGGAAGGTGATCTCTGTGGACCAACCAAAGCCAGTTTTTGGCATCTGTCTCGGACACCAGCTGCTCTCTCTGGTCATTGGAGCCAAGACCTACAAGATGAAGTGAGTACCTCAAACTCAACACCTCCGTAACCTGAAAGATAAATTGTTAAACTTTGATTCTTAAGTGATTTTAAACTTTTACCAACGTTTACTATCAAAAAGTAATGGTGCTCCATTATAAGAAAATTGTATTCAATTATTTTCAGTCCTGTAAACTTAACATGATTACTAATTTCTTCAATTTAACACACCTCTTTCTCTTTGTAATAAATTCGAAACCCTTCCGCAGGCTTGTTAGCCAGTGCTTGCTCTGGTGTTGTTAGCTGGAGCTGGACTAAACAGCAAGTGATTTAAAAGCACAAGAAAAAAATATCCTTCATGAGCAACAACAAAACAAGATCCAGAGTGAAGGTGGATGGTGTGAAAACATTTTATTTAAATTTGTTTAAGTTACCTTTGCTCCATCTTTTTACTCCGGCCCCACAGCTGCACTGTTGTGAGAACAGCTGGTCAGAAGCTGAATTTCATGACCTTTGGTGGAAAGGGTGAGCACATGTGAATGAAGAACTCACTGTATGTTCTAGTGTAAATGTGGACTTGTCTTACAGTTGTGAAATAGGACGTCCTCATATTTTGCAAGCCTTCCTGGCAGGATCATTGTGTTGTGTTTCGGCTGTGTACAGGCAGGAGAAGGACCCAAATGCAAAACTCACGACAACCAAATTAAACTCAAAAAGCTGCTTTATTGCAGAATGGTATGGAAAACTAAACTGGGACATGGATAACTAAGGCTACGTTCACACTGCAGGCGAAAGCGCATCAAATCCGATTTTTTTGACCCTATGCGACCCATATCCGATCATGGTTTGACCGTGTGAACGGCACAAATCCGATATTTTCAAATCCCATCTGGGTCACTTTCATATGTGGTACTGAATCCGATACATATCCGATGTTTCAGAAAGCGACTGCTGTTTGAATGGTCGTGTCGCATTAAATCCGTCTTTTACGTCACTGACACAAGACAGACGCCAATTATCAGCACCAGAGAAGCGCCCGAGAAGACACTGCGAACGCTTTCTGGCCATCCGGTGAAACTGTTGGGAAGACAACGTTGGAGAAACGTGAACATTTTATTTGTACTGTATAACACGCTCTCACTTTCTTTGTGAAATGCAGATTTTTGCTGTTCTCAGCACTCTGGCGTCTCCCTTATGATCACTAGAGGGTTGGATTGTGCGTCGTTGTTCTGAAAAAGGCTGAATAAACACGTCTGCCAAATTCTGTAGCCATATCTATTATGGGAGACTTTGTCGATGGCAGCTTTATCAGGCTGAGTCTGAAGGTCGGAGTGGGCAGCATGTGTCCTGCTGGAATGTGGCTGGCATCCCATCAGACAGATTACAGGTTGTTTGTGGAGATTCTTTCTGAAAGACTACAAGTGTCAAACAAGTCGTCCTAAAATGTGCTTTGTCTGTACCTGGATGAACAATCTAAAGGCCAAGTTAATTAATGTCATGGTCCTGGGTCGGTGACCCAGCGCTTTTAGTTCGTTATCATTTTCTTGATGATGATTGTTTAAGTTCTGTGTTATATTCAGTCTGCCTCTGTGTCCGCGTCTGTATCTGTCTGTCTATGGTGTCACCCCATCTGTTTGTGAATCTGTCTGTTTAGTTCAATGTCTTGTCTGGTTCCATGTGTCTGAGTTTCCTGTTTTATTGTGAAGGTCTGTGTCATATGTGAGTGTGCTCAGTTTACGTTTCCCCTGTTCCGTCAGCTCAGATTCCTCCCAGCTGTGTTGCCCTCCTGTTTCTCATCCCCTGATTACTGGTGTGTGTATTTAAGCCCTGTGTGTTCTCCTGCCTGTTGCTGGTTCGTCTGTGTAACACTGTGTCAGTCTGTTACCCTGTGGTCCACGGTGTCCTGTTCCTCGGCTGCTTCTCATCCCGTTGTCATATGCTCCCAGGTCTGTTATTTTTAGTTCTCCCAGTTTAGGTGTATTTAGTTATTTGTTATGCCCCACTGTTTGTTTGCCACTACACCTCTGTAAATAAAACCACCGGTATCTCATCCACTGCCTGCATCTTGGGTCCTTCTTCCAACTCCACGCGGCTCGCCTCGGCAGCCGTGACAATTAAAGCTTCTGCTATAATAATGCCTCATTAGAGGGCACCTTGGTTAAGCTAAATGTATAATTATAGATTTTGTTAACCGTGGGAAATGTCTTTTATCCATCTTTTAATTAGTGTGTTATTTCCTCTTGTTTCTCAGGTACGGTAACCGTGGACACAACCAACCGTGCATCCATAATGGGACAGAGCGCTGCTTCATCACCAGTCAGAATCACGGCTTCGCTGTCGACCCTGACACTTTGCCCAAAGACTGGGACGTGCTCTTCACAAATGCTAACGACCACACCAACGAGGGCATCGTACACAACACAAAGCCTCTGTTCAGGTAACAGTCTGTGAAAGATGGAGTCCAGTGGTGATTCACTCTAGAAGTGACTGGTTCTGGTGCCTTAAGTGCCTCTGTACTGGCCGGAAAAAACCCAATTAACAAACTCCCCCTCACCATGACAACAGCAGATTTCAAGCACAGTCGAAGGACGAACTGTAAGCTCCGCGGCTCTACGGTTACAGCTGGTTGTTCAGCCTAGCAGTGGCGTTAAACGATATTAACAGGGATATATTTAATGTAAATAACCCTGAATGCCTTTCTTTGCACCTTATTTTGGCACTCATTCCTGTTTTCTACTACCAACTTCCTGTCCGTGTGTAGAAGCTTTTATTTTGATGGGACGATTTCCTGTAAAACAGGTTTTGGCGCAGTTTTCAGCAGCAGTCGCGGGAGTTTAGAAAAGTGATGGCTTAACGGAGCCTATGGTGATTTCTTTTGTCATTAGCAGCCCCCTTGATAGAGGCACAAGGTATGGTTATGATGTAAATAAGGAGACGTTTAGATGTTTTTGTGATAGTCGCTACATTTGTTAAATGTTACGTTGAAACGAACTTCATGTTATAAGGTTTACGATTGTAAGAGTGTGGATTATTTTGCTTACACGCTGTTTCTGTGTATACATCCTCAGCTCTTACGGTGAGATTGATGGTTTACTGCCATTAAACCTTCAAAACGTCATCAGTAAAGTGTCATCCTTCATTCGGGGGGGTTCGCTACAGTAAGAGCTTACCTCCGAGAGCAGCGAGAGAGCTTACCTCCGAGAGCAGCGAGAGAGCTTACCTCCGGGAGCAGCGAGAGAGAGAGAGAGCTTCCTGCGATCGGAACGGCACGGCACGGCACGGAGCAGCAAGCTACAGCAGCGGTCCGGTAACAAGCAATTGCTCTCAAAATGGAAAATATAGAAGGAGGTCAGTTAAACGAAAAGGAACAACGAAAGGAATTGACATGCGAAGCTGATGAAACAGCTAATGAAACGTTCCCAAGGCGATCAGAACGGCCCAGTGTGCCCACGGAGAAAATGCTCTTATATCAAAGAGATGAACAGAATAAAAGAGAGAAGAAACTGCTAACCATTTATGAACATTGGAAAGGCCAGGTCAGAGTATACAGAGAAGACCTGAAAAGTGATTTATCAGATTCACGGTTAGCAGAAATGGCTGAATGACAAAAGCATACAGTGAATACAGAGAACGTAATGAACCATCCCATGTCATAAGGCGCAAAATGGACTCTTGTGAATCAGTGACAAAGGACATTATGAAAATCATATCTGAGCGTTTAGCAGCTATAGATGAGTATGATGCAGATAGAGAAAGGCAGCACCTCCATCAGCTCTTAGCATATGAACATGCTAAGTCCATATTTGGTACTGCATCACAGTCAAGTTACCAATCTGAAGCAAGCATTGCAGCCAAAAGAATTGATGCTGTTGCAGAATTAGCTGCAAAAGAAGCTCAGTATAAAATCACACAAGAGGAAATAAAACAAAAACAAAAAATAAGAGAAATGGAAGAGAAACACAGGAGGGAATTGGATGCACAAAGGTCTGAACTAGAACGTTTACAAGCAGAAAAGGAAAGGCAAGCAGCACGTGCAAAATTAGAGATTTATGACAAGGAGTTAAGAGTTGATATGGACAGTCAGCTAATGTTACAGAGCAATGGGATGTCTGTTATCAACCAAAGCTTTGCACAACCAGCCTCAGAGCTCTCTACAGGTTCATATCACCCACATGTGGAACAATATGCATCCATCCCTGTCAATAATCCTCTACAACGACTGCACTCACAAATTGTCACTCCATCGCCTCCCACAGACGTATTGCAGCTGGCTAAAGCTATTCAAGACAGCATAGCAGTAAGCAGAATTCCAGTGCCTGTGCCCATTGTGTTCAGCGGAGATCCCATCACCTACATCGAATGGAAGGCTTCCTTCATCTCACTGGTGGGCCACAGAGGTATATCTCCAGCTGAAAAACTGCATTTGTTAAAAAGGTATATCACTGGTCCTGCTCTTAAGTGTCTTGAGGGCACGTTCTACCGCAGTGATGAAGAGGCATACAAAGATGCATGGAAAAGACTTGACCAACGCTATGGACAGCCATTTGTTGTTCAAAAGGCATTCAGAGACAAACTGTCAAAGTGGCCTAAAATCCACTCAAAAGATGCAGAAGGTCTACAGGCCTTTTCTGATTTTCTCACAACTTGTCTGCAGGCAACACCACATGTAAAGGGCTTAGAGATACTAAGTGACTGTGAGGAAAACCAAAAGTTATTGCATAAGATTCCAGAATGGCTTGCAACGCGTTGGAACCGTCAAGTCACAGTTACTCTCATGAAAGGCAAAGATTTTCCCTCTTTCAAGGATTTCGCAGAGTTTGTAGCACTCGAGGCAGAAATTGCATGTAATCCTGTGACTTCTTCATATGCACTCTACTCAAGCAGCTCATCCTTGGAGAAAAGATACGTAAGGGAGACCAAACCAAACAGATCTGTGACTCAAGTCTTCACTACACAAGCCACAGTACAAGGAGAAAAAACTAAGTCAAATGACACAAGGTTAAAGGTGGCCTGCATGTTCTGCAAAGATGAAAGTCATCAGTTGTCAAAGTGCCCAAGCTTCTCAGAGAAGTCACTAGACCACAAACGGACATTTGTGAAGGAAAATAAACTGTGCTACGGGTGCTTAAAGGTGGGCCACAATGCCAGAGACTGTCGTCATCGCCACAAATGTGACACTTGCAAAGGACGACACCCCACCTGTTTGCACAATGAGAGTCACATGGCAAATGAAAGGCCTCAGAGCTCTACAAACGTCGCTTCAACCACAGAAAATGACACCATGGCAGCCACAGCTCTGAATGTTACTAAGGTGGGTCAATCAGGTAGTACCTCCATGATTGTTCCTGTGTGGGTTTCCACTACTCAGAGTCCATCTAAAGAGCAGCTTGTGTACGCTTTATTAGACACACAAAGTGACAACACATTTGTCAGTGAGGAGGTAACTAACCAGTTACAAGCAGCATCCCATCCAGTTAAGCTAAAACTAACCACGATGCTGGGAGTTCACATGACAGTCAAAAGCCAGAGAGTAGCAGGGTTACGTGTGAGAGGTTATAATTCAGATGTTCACATCGACCTTCCACCCTCCTACACGAAGGACTACATCCCATTTAACTATGACGACATACCCACAAATGAAACTGCAAGGCAATGGCCCCATCTGTCAGAGATCGCTGATCAGATACCCCCTCACCTGAGTTGTGATGTTGGACTACTCATTGGATTTAACTGTCCCAGAACTCTAGCTCCAAAACAGGTTCTACTCGGAAAAGACAATGAGCCATTTGCCATACAGACAGACCTAGGGTGGAGCATTGTTGGTGGCTCATCAGAGTCAAATGAAACTGAAACAAGTCTGTGCCATAGGGTCATGGTAAAGGAAATGCCTGCTGTAACACCAATGGACATGATCAATGTTCTTGAGTCAGATTTCAAGGACACAAAGGCATGTGACAAAACGGTCTCACAAGAGGATCTCGTTTTTCTGGAAAAACTTAAGGAAGGGATAAAGAAAAACGAACAAGGATACTGTGAGATGCCTCTTCCATTCAAGCAAAGGCCAAACTTACCAGACAACAAAAGGCTTGCAGAGATCAGACTGGAACACTTAAGGAGAAGGTTGAACAAGGATGAGAACTACAAAAATGATTATGTTGCATACATGAATGACATAATTGAAAGAGGAGACGTGGAAGAAGTACACAACGAAGGAACACAAGGTGAACAATGGTACATCCCCCATCATGGATTTACCACCCCAAAAAGCCCACAAAACTGCGTGTCGTATTTGACTGTCAGCCAAACACAATGGAACAAGTCTCAATGATCATCTCCTCCAAGGGCCAGACTTAATAAACAATCTGACTGGCATTCTCTTGAGATTCCGGCAACATCCTATTGCCTTAATGTGCGATATAGAAAAGATGTTCCACCAGTTCCACGTCAGTGAGAGGGACCGGGACTATCTACGTTTCCTCTGGTGGAAAAACGGTGATACAAGCACACAACCTCAAACATACAGAATGAAGGTACACCTTTTTGGTGCGTCATCATCTCCAGGCTGTGCAAATTATGGACTGAAGTACTTAGCCAAAGAGCACTGCCACTCGCACTCAGCAGGTTCACAGTTCATTGAGAAAGACTTTTATGTCGACGATGGAGTTACGAGCACAAACACAGTGAAAGAAGCAATGCAGTTGGCACAAGAAGCCAGAGAAATCTGCCGCAAAGGTAACCTGCGTCTCCACAAGTTTGTTTCTAACAATCACACTGTTTTGCAAAGTATACCTGCATCAGAGTGTGCTGTAAATATTAACATAAGAGACTTGACATTCAAAGACATGCCACAAGAAAGAGCACTAGGCATCCAGTGGAGCATTGAAAAGGACTGTTTCAAATTTGACAACACAATGAAAGTCCAGCCAGCCACACGCAGAGGTATTCTATCCACTGTCGCGTCAATCTACGACCCACTTGGATTTTCAGCGCCATATGTGCTGAATGGAAAGAAAATCTTGCAAGAAATGTGTCAGCATGGTGTCGGGTGGGACGACCCCATACCTAATGCACTCAAGCCAAGGTGGGTGAGTTGGCAAAGTGACTTTGTAAATCTAGACAAGCTAAACATACCTCGCTGTTACCTGCCTGCTAACTTTGGTGAAACTAAAGAAATAGAGTTGCACCACTTTTCAGATGCAAGCTCAAGTGGTTATGGACAATGTAGCTATCTGAGGGCAAAGAACGCTAAAGGTGAAGTTCACTGCTCTCTGGTAATAGCAAAGGCTCGAGTTTCTCCAACTAAACTGACCACAATCCCCAGACTTGAACTAACAGCAGCTGTAGTTTCAGTCTCAGTCAGCAACATGTTACGGGAAGAACTGTGTTATGGTGCAAAGGAGTACTTCTGGACTGATTCAAAGGTGGTGCTGGGCTACATAAACAATGATGCACGTCGTTTCCACACCTTTGTAGCTAACAGGGTTCAGAGGATCAGGGAAAGTACAAGCCCTCAGCAGTGGTTTTACGTGCCATCAGAACTGAATCCAGCTGACGGTGCTTCGAGAGGTGTAACTGTCAATGAGTTAAATAAGTCTATCTGGTTCACTGGCCCCTCCTTTTTGTGGAAAAATGAACTGCCCACAGCACAACCTGTTGAGCTGGATCTGACCATAGGAGATCCAGAAGTCAGAAAAGTACAGACAATGTTAACTAAAGTCACAGACACTGTAAGTCTCGCTGAATGTCTAAGTAAGTTCTCCTCCTGGTCCAAAGCAATTAAAGCTGTAGCACGTCTCATAAGAAGGGCTAGACACATCAAGTCAAATGCATCAGCTACAGTGAGTGAGCAGAAAAATGCTGAACTTGTGATCATTCGACGTGTACAAAGTCAAGCGTACGAACAGGAAAACAGCTGAAGAAAGGAGAACAGCTCCCACATCATGACAAACTGTTTAAACTGGACATTTTCATGGATACAGATGGTCTCCTCAAGGTGGGAGGGAGACTCCAGCATGCAACGAGTGACACCTTCAAACACCCGATCGTGATCCCAAAAGAACATTGTACAGCCAAACTCATAATATCTCACTGTCATGACAAAGTAAAACACCAAGGAAAGGGATTCACCATAAATGAAATCAGATCCAGTGGCTACTGGATTCCTGGAATGAGTAAAACAGTTGCCTCATTCATCCGACAATGTGTGATCTGCCGCAGACTCCGCAAAGCTCCAGAGGGTCAGAGGATGAGTGACCTACCTCCACATCGCTTAGAGCCCTCTCCTCCCTTCACACACTGTGGCATGGACTGTTTTGGTCCATTTGTGACAACAGAGGGAAGAAAACAACACAAACGGTATGGACTCTTATTTACTTGCTTTTGTTCTCGTGCCATTCACATCGAGTTCTTAGAGGACTTGTCTACTGATGCATTTATTAATGCATTAAGATGTTTCATTTCAATCAGAGGTGCAGTTCGACACATCCAATGTGACCAGGGAACGAACTTTGTTGGTGCTCAGAATGAGTTTAAAGCAGCTTTAAATGAGCTAGACACTCAGAGACTAACTACATACTTGACTGAAAAACAATGTGACTTTGTGATGAACGCACCCCATGCTAGTCATGCAGGGGAGTGTGGGAACGTCAGATAAAGACTGTCAGAAGTGTGCTGAATACCACTCTGTCACTGGCTCACGACAGACTCAATGATGCTTCATTACGGACGTTATTCTACGAAGCCATGGCTATAGTCAATAGCAGACCCTTGACTATAGATAACTTGAATAGCCCCAACAGCCTGGAACCGCTCACGCCCAATCATCTACTGCACATGAAATCCAATGCACCGTTGCCCCCACCTGGTGCCTTTTCAAATGAGGACCTGTACAGCAAGAAGAGGTGGCGCCGCGTGCAGTTCCTTGCAGAGCAGTTCTGGAGCCGCTGGAGACGAGAATACATTCACAACATCATTTCAAGGCAAAAGTGGCACTCACCAAAGAGGAATCTAAAAGTAGGTGATGTTGTGTTGGAAATGGATGAACTGGCACCCAGAGGGGAATGGAGACTTGCAAGAGTTGTAGAAACTGTCAGTGGAAAAGATGGACTTGTGCGAAGGGTAAAGATCTCACTTGGAGAAAAGAGACTCAATAATAAAGGTCAACGCTCTACTAAACTATCAGTTGTTGAGCGTCCAGTACAAAAACTTGTATTGTTGTTAGAAAGTTCCTAAGGTAACTCCTACATGGGTTATTTTGTTTGGGAAAATTATTCATTTTGGTTCTTATGTAAACCAATTATTCGTAATTTTGGTGGGAGTGTAAATAACCCTGAATGCCTTTCTTTGCACCTTATTTTGGCACTCATTCCTGTTTTCTACTACCAACTTCCTGTCCGTGTGTAGAAGCTTTTATTTTGATGGGACGATTTCCTGTAAAACAGGTTTTGGCGCAGTTTTCAGCAGCAGTCGCGGGAGTTTAGAAAAGTGATGGCTTAACGGAGCCTATGGTGATTTCTTTTGTCATTAGCAGCCCCTTGATAGAGGCACAAGGTATGGTTATGATGTAAATAAGGAGACGTTTAGATGTTTTTGTGATAGTCGCTACATTTGTTAAATGTTACGTTGAAACGAACTTCATGTTATAAGGTTTACGATTGTAAGAGTGTGGATTATTTTGCTTACACGCTGTTTCTGTGTATACATCCTCAGCTCTTACGGTGAGATTGATGGTTTACTGCCATTAAACCTTCAAAACGTCATCAGTAAAGTGTCATCCTTCATTCGGGGGGGTTCGCTACATTTAATGTAGGAAGGCCGTCTGTGCCGGGAAGGAGTTTCATGAGCGGGAGGCCAGCCGGAGGCAGAGGGAGACGCCGTCTGACTGTGTGATCAACAACATGGCTCTGCTTCAGCATCCCCGGCTGCTGCTCGCCTGTGTAGGGCTGCTGCTGCTGCTCACCTTTGGCAGCATCAACGCTCGATCTTCGCCTATATCGGACTTGAAATCCAAAATATCCGGGGTGGAGGAGCTCTTGGAGGAATTCCGTAAACAGCTGCAGCAGGACCAGACCTACAGGACAGGTGAAGTGATGGACTCCTGCGTGGGCGACTTCAGTGCCGCGGGGGATCGCATCATCCGGGCCAAGGACTCCATCGAGCAAGGAGCCACCTTCCTGCTGGCCCCGGACAGGGTGTACACCAGGAAGGACTGTGTGCACGCCTGCTGCTCCCAGCCTCACTGCACAGTTGCGGTGCTTCACGAGGACCAAAGGCAGCCCGGGGACAGTCTCCGCTGCTACCTGTTTAACTGCACCTACAGGAGTAAGAATGTGTGCGCCTTCTCGGCTCAGAAAGGCTTCACGACATACAGCCGGACTCCCAACACAACGCAGGGACACCTCCCTGTTTCATCTAGCGACTCAGCCCGGAGGCCCGGAGAAGAAGCTCCTGATGAGGATGATGCAGACGTGGATGAGCCTCCTCGCAGTGACGCTGGACAGGATGTGGTTATCCAGCTGCCCACAGATTGGGCTGTGCTGGATGGCCGTGACAGCGTGGACGACCACGGGATCCGCCGCTATGAGTGGAGTCTGATTAAAGGAGACACAGCCATCAATATGAAGTCAACACATCCAGGTTTGCTGAAGATCAGTGGCCTCCAGGAAGGAGTCTACACGTTTCAGATGACAGTCACTGACACGGCGGGACAGAAGAGCTCCGATAACATCTCTGTCACCGTACTGGCTCCAAAACACCAAGCAGAAGTATGTACCGGTCACTGCTCAAACTACCAATTTAAGTGTGATGACGGTTGCTGTATTGACATCACCTATGCCTGCGATGGGAAGCAGCACTGTCCAGACCGCTCAGACGAAGACTTCTGCCCAAACTTCGATGGCAGCCGAAAGTCAGTGACCCACGCTGTGGACCTGCCCAGCCCTCAGCGGCCTGTCGCTCAGACAAAGAAAGCTGAAGACGACTCCATGCTCCCGACTGGAGCCAGAAAGACCATCACACCGCAAGACACAAGCAAGGCGGCTCCTTCTCAAAGTGCCAGTGAGCAGGAAGCTTCAGTCAGTCAAGACCCATGTGCTGCTGCTCCAGTTGTGGGACCCTGTAAAGGCACCTTCCCACGGTGGTACTACGACCAAAATGTGGGAGAGTGCAAACACTTCCTGTATGGAGGCTGCCAGGGAAACCACAACAACTTCCTCCAGGAGTTGGACTGTGTCAGTGAATGCATACAAAAAAGTCCAGCTTTCAGACCTGCCAGTGTGGCTCCTCCAGTCACCAAGCAGACTGAGATAGCTTCCCCTAAAGCCAACCAGAGCCAAGCAGTGAGTGACGCCCCCATCTCCAAACCATTTCCAGTTCCTCTGACACTTGGCCTAATCATCACTGCCGTGCTGCTGCTCATGATCTGTCGTCTGATCTGTGAGCCAGCATCAGCTGAGAGATATAGAGGAGAACAGGGGGACAACAGACAGCTCTCTGTAGTTGACAGACTGGTAAAAACATTGAAAACAGTTTTTAGATATTTGCTTCCTGTATTTGCAGAAGTATCTCCAACACAAACTGTAACAGCTGCATGCAGGGAACCACTCAGTCATGTTTATCCTGCAGGACAGGATCTGACAGGGAAAGAAGGAAAAATAAGGGAACCACGGACAACTTTGATAATGCTTTGATTTATCCACAGTACATTTAGTTCAAATATTGTTTCCATCACAGAGGGATTGTGCTGGTTTCAGTGGGGAAAGTATGCAGCTCATTTAAATGTTCAAAGAGCTGTGAAAAGTTGTCCGTTCATAAAGTGTGTCAGTATTTTATAAGGATGCCATGTTTCTGTATCATCTCTCTCCTGTCAGAGCCTCTTCCAAACATCAGCCTGTTTAATGCTCTCATATCTTCAACATCTCGAGTAAATTATACTGCACAGTTTTCTCTCCAATAAAAGAATATTTACTGCATGAGTCTGTTTTCCATTTTATCTGAAACATTCAAGGAGGAGATCTTTTACTGTATTTTGGTGATATTGCCCTTAAATGTGACTAAAGCTTTCATACAGTGGTGATCACGGACATAACTCTGAGATCAGTCTGACTGAACTCTGAAAATCACTGAGTGTTATTTCACAGAACCATAATTAGATTAACTCAAACGGAAACACGCGGTGTTAAACAGTAGTATAATTATCATTAACTGTCAAAGTAAGTGCGTATTTTGCTTGTTTCCGTTTCCATCAAAAATCGAATTAATTAATAATTGTTTGATTTGTGTTGATGAAGGCCTGCCTCCTTCTCCTCACAGTCACTTTTTACGAGACCATGAGTGTGTTTCATTTTTTGTTCTGTCAGTCTTGGATGTGACTCCTGAAAAGAGATTCACCATGATTCTGGTTCTCCTTTCACAGTCAGTACTGCTGGTTTCTCTCTCAGACTGACTGAAGATGAGTGATCTGGAGTCTCCAGGATCCAGCCGTCTGTCTGTGACCGACACAAAGTAAGATACTGTCTCTAATGTACACGAAGGAAATAGAGAACATAGGTGAAATCAGTATGTAGAAACAATTACAAGTTTAAAAGGACAAGTAAGATTGAGTGGGAGAGGACTGGTTTAACAGGAAGAAGAGAAAATTCCACAGTATCCGTGCAAAAAGTTTCACTTTGAAATCTTTAAAAGAATGTGGACAAACAGGTGGACTTGGTGTCAGTGGAGTTTACTCCTGGAAGTTTGAGATTATGATGATTATTACTTCAAAAACACCTGTACAGACGTTTATCACTCATTCCATACCAGCGCAGTGCCCAGTAACACTTTGAGGTGACTGGAGCTTTATATATAAAATGAATGCAGTCCGATCAGTTTATGAGAATAGTCAAAGTGACTTTGGTAATATTAGTTGCCAATTTTTAGTTGGTATTGGTTTGTAAGATTAGTTTAAAATAAAGACTTCATTTTAACTGAATTTTGTTACGTCTCAAGAATTTGGACGTTTAGCCTTAAGGACAAACCTAAGGAGGAGGTTGGACTTTAGAGTTGAGCCCAGAGATGTACGGCTGAGTGAGGGGCTACTTTTTGTCATCAAACTAAAAAGAAATAAAATGTAGGCTTAGAAGACACGGTTGGTTGTTTGGTTCAGCATCTCTGAATATCTTCAGAGCTGTAGAGGCTTCAGAATGTAGAAGTTTGGGTGGAAACTCCAAATACTTGAAGCCCACAAGATGCATCTTTAAAAAGTCAAAAAGAAGCGAAGAATTGCTGTCGCTAAAACCAAAATAACATTTATAACAACAACAAAAGTGTATGATTTGGTAATATGATTGGAATGGAACAAATGGATTCTGAAAATCAGAGATTGAGTTTCCAAGTGAATAATGCAGCTGAAAAATTTTCCTGTTATATGAAGACTTTTAACCTGTAGTTCAGTATTGATCTGCCACAGTCAGCGAACAAAACTGCCAAAAAGGAAAAAGACATTAAGATCCTCAAAAGCTTGGCATAATATAGTCATACATTTTCACCTGAATACATCTGCCCTGTGCAAATCCGTTTCGAAGGCCTTTGCAGCTAATAATGGTCAATATATTAATTTAAAGAACACAGAAAAACAGCTGGTTCTTTTTCAGGGTTTCATAGCTTTTTTGTGTAGAATGCCAAGCTTTAATATTATAGAGATTTGCAAGTATCTACAAAGCATGATATGATGTGAAGTTCAACATCTGGGACACGTGTCCCGCTATGCATTGCAGAAAATGACTCAATCTCTTAGTACAGCAAACAAACAATGCAGGAGGGCGGGAAAATAATGGTCTCCTCTGCCGTGGCATCAGAAGTTGAGAATTGACGGGACAAAGTGTTGGGTTTCTCGTTTTGGGTTGCCGGGTCTATAGATCATAACACAGTTGAACCAAGCAAAGGAGAGGGCCCACCTGGTTTGTCTTGAGTGGCTGCTGTGAGATATGCAAGATGCTTGTGGTCAGTCAAACGATGAACAATGAGCAGGTGTTCTGCTCCCTCCCGCCAGCTAGCAGTTCCACTTCTCCCACGTCATAGTTTTGCTCAGTTCGAGAAAGACAGCAGAAGGGAAAAAGCTGCATTTTCCCTTCCTTGTTCTGGAACAAGATGAACTCCATCAACGATAAATTGTTGGGTGGTCACACACAGCTGACTGCAGCTTTCCAGTCTTATAAACAGTACATTTGTACAATGACTGAAACCAGCCCACTGGCTGTGACGTCAGTTCCTTGATCATGAATATGCAAATTGTCATGACCATTGATCAACAATCATTGATCAAAGACCATTGATCGTGGAATAATCTTCCACACTGCACCTAACGTGACAAACTGAAAGCAGTCATTGGGTGGGAAACCTTGAGGAGAACACTTTTGACCTTAGAGAAGAGCTCTGCATAGAAAAGGATCAGGTTTGAACTTAGTTTGTGCAGCTGTACCTTTAACTAAGGCAAGTTCCTGCATCAACTCGTCCTGTTGTCTTTTTGAACTGTGCTTCACTATTCACTACAGATGAATGCACTGTAAACACCTGCGTGTGAGTCACTTTGGTCACTTTGACAGTTGCACTGGTAATAATAATTTTCCCTTTGTGTCCTCAGAGAGAACAGTGATGTTGGTGTGGAGGAGGAGGAGCAGTTGTCCTGCTGTGCTTTGGGTCAAGATGTCTCAGAGGATTCAGTCGCTACCAGTTGTGGCATCTCTGTCCAAAGTAAGAGTCGGTATCCGTGTGCTGATGAACACATTTTTGAAAACTTGACTTCTTGTTTTGTAGGTGCATGAAAAAGATTTCATTCGATTTTTTATGGTATAGGTTTTTTTCCTGTTTTACTTTGAATGTTGTTTCCTTTCATGTCTCACGTTAGTTTTACTTCCTGCTTTGTGATTGTCTTAATTATTTTTCACCTGGTTTGCTAAAGTTCAGCTGTCATGTTCCCCACCTGCTCACAATATCAGGCAATCCTCAATATATACTACTCAAAACAATCAGAGGAACACACTGAAAACATAATGGCTCTCGCGCGGAGAAAAACATGCTGGAGATCAATACTGATGCAAACTGGGTGATGTGTTAGAAACGAAAGGATTCAATTGTTTGTTGGAAATAAATGATCAAAATACTGGATACTGGCTGAATCCAAATACAAACAGAAAATCAGAGTAAAAAACGCTGCAGCAGGCTTTTCCATTTGGCTCTGATTTCATAGCAGCAGCTCAAAATGAAATAGTTTGTATGGCTGCGTGTGCTGCTGGGCCAAAAGTTTAGCTGGTCATTTGTAGATTTTTAGATGAAATAAAAAACAAAAAAAACACTCAACAAAAGATCATCTAAAGAAGAGCAGAGTTCATGTACACACTTTATTAAGCAGCTACTGTACAACAAGAACAGAATCATGTAAATGGCCAAACAACAGCAACAGTAATCCCAGGGTGTAGCACAGCAGGCAAAGAGACGCAGTAGCACAGAGAGAGTAAAGGATCACATGGAGAACAAATGGAGCGCGCTCACGAGCCCTCTCTTCGTACAGAGCCAGAAACGTCTGACCCACAGAGCTCACTAAGACGACAATAACTCGTTTTTCCCACACAGATTACATATAACATCACACTGAATGAAATTACATGTAGCAGATTACATGAACTATATAAGATGAGGATTCGCGTATTAAGCATATTCAGAACTATTTCCTTCCATTATTTTCTTGGGTTAACAGTTTTTGTTGCTTTTCTGCTATCGCTTAAATTTTATTCATATAGCACCAAGTCACAACAGCCACCTTAAGGCACTTTATAGTGTTAGGTAAAGCCTCAGTAATAAAGCCTCAGACAACTCCCTACGAGCAACGACTTGGAGACATTAAGAAAGAAAAACTCTCTCTTTGTACAGTCGAACACTGAGACGGAACCAGGTTCAGTGACGGGCCGCCATCCACCACGACTGGTTGGAATGAGGGGAGGAGGGCAGGATAAAACCTGCAGGCTGAGAGCAAAGTGCTCCATCTATCTGATATGATACTGTAAGGCCTCTCAGATAAGATGGGGCTGTTTTATTATGGCCCTTTTTATGTGAGAAGCATTTTGAATTCAGCTCTGGATTTAACAGGGAGCCAATGATGTGAAGCCAGTATGAGGGGGATTTTCCCTCCTCTTAAAATGTCTCATTAGGAACATTTTTAACAGTTGCTTCTTGTCTCTGCTGTGACAAAAAAGGGTTCTGATTATGAATCAAAATGTTTTAAATAAGTCACACACTGGTTATAACTTAATGCCGAAAATGTCATGTTACACGATTTACTATTTTCTGAAGCTTATTTACAATTTACAATGCTTAACACCATTCCCATCCCTCCCGTCAAAAGATAAAAGTCTGTTTTTCATGCAGTTTCACACACTAAAGACATTTCATTCTTTTTGGTTTCTTGTTGTCAATCAGCAGATGCGAGTCTGGAAGAGGTTTTAGAAGAATATAAGATCAGTCTGAGGAGGAGGTTTGAAAGTGTGACTGAAGAAACTGATAATACAGGAAGTGGAACCCTCCCGAACAGGATCTACACTGAGCTCTACATCACAGAGGGACAGAATGAAGACGTTCATAACCAACATGAGGTGATGCAGCTGGAGACAGCTTCCAAGATGGAGGCTCTTGATGACATTACAGTCAGGTGTCACGACACCTTTAAAGCCTTACCTGACCAACAGAGACCCATCAGAGTGGTTCTGACCAACAGCGTCGCTGATCAGAGACGAGCAGTACAGTCTTCTGGAGCTGCTCCATGTTTTCCATCCAACATTACAGAAGGTCACAGCAGAGAAGCTCGCTGTCTGTAAACTTTTGTTCATCTTTGACGGCCTGGATGAAAGCAGACTTGGATCATTGGATTTCACCAACGGGAAGCTGCTGTCTGATGTCACAGAGAAGTCATCAGTCAGCCAGCTGCTGACAAACCTCATCCAGGGGAATCTGCTTCCCTCGGCTCTCGTCTGGATAACTCCCCGACCTGCAGCAGCCAATCAGATCCCTCCTAGACGTGTTGACAGGGTAACAGAAGTACGAGGCTTCACTGATGCCCAGAAGGAGGAGTACTTCAGGAGGAGATTCAGTGATGAAGAGCTGTCCAGAATCATCTCCCACATGAAGACATCCAGGAGCCTCCACATCATGTGTAGAATCCCAGTCTTCTGCTGGATCACTGCTACAGTTCTGGAGCACATGTTGACTACAGAGCAGAGAGGAGAGCTGCCCAAGACCCTGACTGACATGTACTCACACTTCTTGTTGGTTCAGATGAAGAAGGGGAACAAACATGTGGGGGGACATGAAACAAGTGAGATGGCTGAAAGGAAATTTCTTCTGAATCTGGGGAGGCTGGCATTTAAACATCTGGAAAAAGGAAACACCTTCTTCTACCAAGAAGACCTAGATCAGTGTGGTCTGGATGCTACAGAGGCCTTGTTGCACACAGAAGTTTATACGGAGCTCTTTAAACAGTGTTTGTTAATCTTGAAGGTGGCTTTTATTTGTGATTCAGGTCTCAATGTCTCTTTGTGTATACTTATATGCAGAAGTAACACAAAAGAAGAAGTGGGAGCTGGCCTGACACCAGTAACTGACTTCCAGTGAAAGCTTTGGCTAATAATATTTTTTAGCGAACATTTTTCTTGTAAAACAAAGGGGGGCCTAGCAAAAAAGGTTTGGGAACCACTGCTCTACAAGGTTGGCGAAATAAAAAAAAATGTATTAACATTTTTTTATTTGACTTTATTAGTCAATTTTTTATTTGGACTAAAAAAAATGTTCGAAGTGGACTAGGTGCTAATTTTCAGATGTCAGGTCTACATCTAGAATCAAAATGAGCACATACATAAACAACCAAAGTGAAGCATTAAGACAAAACATAGCAACGTCAAACAGCGTCCACACATTTTGCCACAAATACATGCAAAACAACTAAATTGGGCCACAAAAGTGATGTAAATTGACCAAACTAAGACACAAATCAGACAAAAACAGATGCAGGATGATCACAAACAGACACGTCGGCTACAAACTGATGCAAAATGACTAAAATCACACGTGTAACACTTTCTACATATTTGACAACAGAAGAAAAACACAAACAAACTTGGAATGCATTTTTAATTTGGATTTTTTTTATTTCATGCCGAATTAGATATTTTAAAAATCAAGCCAAAGTCTCCTCCCTGTTTGTACTGTAAGGTCAAAGCCCTACTGTACTACAGAGAACCCCAACAATCAAATGATCCCCTCTGAGCAAGCACGAGGCGACTGTGGGGAAGAAAAACTCCCTTTAACAGGAAGAAACTTCCAACGGAACCGGGCTCAGAAGGGACGGCCATCCGCTGCGACCGGTTGGGGGATGGAAATCAAAAGGAGACGAGATGGCGTGAACTACAGTTCTAAAATTTGGATTTGAGGGCTGATCCCAAAATTTTATGGTGATGTTTTTAAAAAAAGGATTTGGTGCTAAAAGTCTGCTTCAAGATTTTAAAAGAAGCAGGGCAGTGGGAAAAGCCAAAATGGTCATTTTAATGATCTCTGGCTTTAGTGAACCACCTGAAGGGTTTTAGCAATGTTTTTCCCACCGCAGAAAAAAACCTGGATATTTTGGACGTCTTTGGGGGACCCGGGATGACTCCGAGAGTGATTTTTAGATGTCTAATCAGAGCCTCATCAAAAGATGAATCATTTGCCATCGAAGCCTTTAAGACATTGTCTGGGGAGCCAAACTCCTTGATGAGGCGTTTGGCTATTTTCTTGATGAACTTTGTCTTGTCATTTGTCAGACTTGTGGCAGACGCTGTGCTGCTGAGTTCAGGCTGCATTAGATTGCTCAGACGATTGATGACCGTGTCTATTTCTTTTGTAGTAGTTGCGATCCGAGCAGCAAACTTTTGGGTCTCAGGTTTAGATTTATGGATGACTCTCATGATAAGGAGCAACGCAAGGTCATTGGAAATTTTCTCAACATCAGAAGATGAACCTGACACAGAATCCATCTCTGATATTTTGGAGGAATCTTTGAGAGAGTGTTTTCAGGCTCCAATTTGGCGTTCTCAGATGACAGGATTACTGGAGAAATGCTCCCAGTTTTGGCATTTGAGGTGTTTTTCAGATGCCACAGAGCATTACTGGAGAAATGCTCCCAGTTTTGGCGTTCGAGGTGTTTTTCAGATGCCACAGAGCATTTTCTGGAGAAATGCTCCCAGGTTTTGGTGTTGGAAGTGATGCATCAGATTCTTTTCCTCTGCCATCTGAAGCAGGGCTTTTTTCCTGTGTTGTGGTCTGTGTTCTTTTAATAAAGTTGTGGATGTCTTCCAGGGCCCCAGAAATCTTGTCCATTTGAACAATTTGATCTTTCTCTTCATTCTCCACCCAGAGTAAAAGCTTCTGCAAAAACCTTTCTACTGTGTCATCTATGAGGACATAGAGGACTTCAGCAGAAATGGGACGCTTTGAGCCCTCTACTGATTGTGGCGTCCTGGAGATGACCGTGTCTGAGAGGGACCTACCCATTAGAGGTATGGGGATTTGATAGCCTCGATCCACCGTAAGTAGATCAAACAGGTTTGCCACTAAGTCCTCCGTAAAATTCCTGATATGCCCACTATTTTTAAAGTCCCCCAAGGTCTTATCGATGAGGAAGAGTTCTTCTTTCTTTGTTAATTTGTCAAATAACTGATTAACGTCTGATCTAATGACGTTAAAGTCGACTGAAGAAGAACGTTTAATTGCGGTTCCCAGGCTTGCCGTATGTCGAGAAGGGGAGCGATGAGCCTCTGTACTCTGGGGAGCAGCCGTTTCAGGTACTGACCCTGGGAGAATGAAAACTATACTTTCATTGGAGGGCGCAGTTTCCTTCTTGGGGTGGCTGCAAATGTTTTGTAGACAAACAAAATGTTTCCTGTTTGCCTTTATTCTTTTTTTCAGCTCTGTTTTCATTTTTTCAAATTGTTTTTTTGCAAACATGGAAAAGTTGTGTTTGCGTGCTTTGAGCCTGGCATGTGAGGTGGATGGCACACATTTGGAGAAGAAGTGTCTCACCTTGTGGATAATTAAGCCTGCATTAAAGGCAGGTTTGGGTAAGTTACATTTCTCACAGAGCTCTTCACTGCTTGAATCCATGTTAGCAAGTATCTCACCTACGATGTCAGCTGCAACCATTTCTACTGGGGTTGGAGCCTGGATACTTTGTGTTTCTGCAGTGGGTTTTATTTTGCTTTGTGCTGTTACAGCTGATTCTTCTGGGACCTCATCTTTATCTTTTCCTGTCATCTCTCCATCTGAGCTCCTTGTTGACAGAATAACAGAAATCTCTGCGATTGCTGATTGCACTGATATTTTTGAACCAGTACGTTCTGTACTGGAATGAGACCCATTTGTCCCACACTGGCAGCGCAGCTTACATGCTGCATACCTTTTCAGGCATGAGGCAGCGCAACAAACCATGCGGTGTAGTTTCTTAATACTACTAAATTTGCCGCTAACATAAACGGCAGGGTCTACTGGGAAATCGGGGCTTTTTTCAATCAGTGCAATGGTTGAGCTGACCTTTTCTGAGATCTCTTCCTCAACCATCAGCGTCAGCTTGTCAGCGCTCTTATCTTGCTGTTTTGAGACATTAAGAGCGCCGGCGATGGCAGCTGAGATCGAGTCTCCGAGGGACACCCTTATTTTCCCCTCATCCATAAGCTCTTCCCTTATCATGGGTTCCTGAATAACAGGAAGGGCTATTTCCAGGATGCTGGCAGAGGCGATCTGAATGATTTCAGAAATCATATCAGCGAGCACGGCATGGATGCTGGAGTCGCATTTTCCATTTTCTATAATGCTCCACTGAACTTCAGAGAGCCTTTCAAAGCACCTGTTGATTGGCGGGATAATCTGGTCTGGTGTGACCACGATTGAATTTTTGTTTAATGTTTCCATTGTTGTGTCACAAATTTGATTTTCTTCGTCTGAGCGTGTGAGAATTTTCTTGTATTACAGAGCGCCGACTGCTGAACGTTTTGCAAACAGATGAGCATCAGTTCTGATTTTTCTGTCTGAGAGCCGTTATTTATAGGCTCGGTTGTCTGTGACGTTACTGACAGGTCACAGCAAGCGCGAACGCCTTTGATCTGCCAGTGACGTCACAAGAAACGCACGCGGAGAGGCGGCGTTCCTTGCCCGCGCTCACAGATTTGAATGACGCTTTGGAGTTGACGGCACGCCGCAATGCATTGTGGGAGCCCGGCACCATTTTCGGGGTCTACGAATCAAAACAAACACGCTCTGTTGGAACGACGATGACAAGATGCTTAAAAGCAGTTCGTGACCCACCAGGATTCATTGGAATCATAGGTTGGAGGACGTTTTGGGGGGAAATGGCCGACGGTCGAAGCGGAGAAGAAATAAACTCTTAAAAGTTAGTTCTGGGTTTTTATCCCACTTCATATATACACCAGGACACATGTTAGCATAATGAAAGAATTGTAGAATTAAGTGGAGTCAACAACAGCAGCATAGTGCAGTCATATCACAAATGTTAGCATAATGAAAAAGTCTTACAAAGTCAAATTTAGCTAACCTTCGGCTAAGTTACCTGACGTTAGTGATATCGCCACTTAACGCGGCTCTTTGGTCGGTTAGTTAGTTTAGGTTTGTGCCGAAGCTGGGTCTGTTTGTCGGTGTGAAGCCAAACGTACTTTAACGTTTTAGGAAACACCGAGCATACGGCTCATACTTGCCAACATTCAAAGGGCTGTTGGGGGGGGCAAATATATTTTACAGTGTTTATTTATTCGACAAAATACGTTAAATGTCACCGTTATTATTGGCTGGCCGGAAACAGCGGGGGTGTCCAAATTCAGAGGCTGCTTCCACCTGAGGACCCGCCTTCGCGGTCTAAAGAAAGCCGCGTAGTACGTCACGAGCTCCCTCGGTGGAGTGAAACTGCGTCTGCTCCTTGCTGTCTAAAATATAACCGGGCGCTGGCGTCAATTCTCCACCGTCTCACACTTTGTTTAATCAGTTTTCTGTTTGACGTTTATTCAGCTTTGTGAAAACCCCAGAGGACCCCTCCCGAGGGATTAATAAAGTTACATTTAATCGAATAACTTTAATCTCAGCCAAAACGATTTACTCACGAACAAGTAAAACACTGGAAAAGCCAAACAAGAACATTTTGAAGTTATCGAAGTGACTTATATATCCTGTTTAACCCGAGTAGCGAAAGACCGCGGGGGGTTGAAAACGATGTGCCGGGAGTCCGGTGTTCTCGCCGTCTCAGAGATTTGAAGTTTACACAGCTACATTCTCGCCTGAAAATAGTTTAAAAGTTTATTTTGTGACCCAGAAAGAGAAATAAGAGTAATATTAAAACTACAAGCTGCCGCCATTGTTGGAAACTGGAATTGGCTGGGCCGCGCTATGAATTCTGCCATATGTTTTTTCAATTTTGTTGTCCGGGTTGAAATTCGGGAGAAATTCGGGAGAATGGTGGCTCCGGGAGGTTTTCAGGAGGGGCTCTGAAATGCGGGATTCTCCCGGAAAAGTCGGGAGGGTTGGCATGTATGAGACGGTTCACCAAATATGTGGCCCGCGAACTGTGGTGAGGACACAGACTCAACCATGCAGTGCTGAAGTTTGTCCTTAAAAGAGCTCTCACCCTGTTTAAACCACTAATGAGAGAGACAGTAGATGGAGAAGTCCTCCTCCTGTTTCTCTGCTGTTTTTGTCAGGCTTATATCAAACAACCTGAGTTGTCACCTTTGTTATAAAGACCAATGTTCTGCAGGATCCTGTGTCCTGTTTTAGTTGCTAACTGCCATGGTTGATTTCCTTCTGCAAGTGTCCAGAGTCAGAATTGAGAAGGTGAGACGTGACAGAGGCTCTCCACCCCTGATGAGACACCAGGACAGTGTGTGAGGAAGAGGAGGAGAAAAAGGAGCCAGCATCAGCTGAGAGATATAGAGGAGAACAGGGGGACAACAGACAGCTCTCTGTAGTCTGTAAAAATAAGGGAACCACGGACAACTTTGATAATGCTTTGATTTATCCACAGTACATTTAGTTCAAATATTGTTTCCATCACAGAGGGATTGTGCTGGATTCAGTGGGGAAAGTATGCAGCTCATTTAAATAAAAAGTTCAAAGAGCTGTGAAAAGTTGTACATTCATAAAGTGTGTCAGTATTTTATAAGGATGTCATGTTTCTGTATCATCTCTCTCCTGTCAGAGCCTCTTCCAAACATCAGCCTGTTTAATGCTCTCATATCTTCAACATCTCAAGTAAATTATACTGCACAGTTTTCTGTCCAATAAAAGAATATTTACTGCATGAGTCTGTTTTCCATTTTATCTGAAACATTCAAGGAGATCTTTTACTGTATTTTGGTGATATTGCCCTTAAATGTGACTAAAGCTTTCATACAGTGGTGATCACGGACATAACTCTGACATCAGTCTGACTGAACTCTGAAAATCACTGAGTGTTATTTCACAGAACCATAATTAGATTAACTCAAACTGAAACACGCGGTGTTAAACAGTAGTATAATTATCATTAACTGTCAAAGTGCGTGCGCATTTTGCTTGTTTCCGTTTCCATCAAAAATCGAATTATCAACTAATTATCTTATCTCCCACCGCCCCCGAATGCACCAAATTTCGCTTGTGAGGCTGTTGCCACGGTAACTGTCATCAGCTAATGTGGCTTTTGGCTAAACGACAAGTTTTATTTGTACCGAAAAATGGCGTCAAGGAACATCGACCCTTTGTCAGCGGAGGAGCCTTCAGAAGAGGAGAGAGGAGCGTGGAGCTGGGAGTCTCAGGTAAACCGAAACGGTTAGCTCGGTGGCTAACGTTAGCGTGATGCGTTCACTTGCATGTGAGGTTTGTGCAAAGTTAGAATCCTGCATCCTGTCTCTTGGTCTGAAGCGCTTCACGAGAACAAAGTTATTTTAGAGCGTCTGATCCCGACAGTTTGACTGAGATGGAGCAGGCATATTTATTCTGTAACTTCCAGTAATTCTGTAACAGTTATTATGAAGTTCAGGTAATAGTAAAGCACTATTACAATTCCTAGAGTCTAAGTACAGTGCAATACTGAGGTCGCTACTTTTATCTTTGATGTATTGACGTTTTATCGAGCTTAAGATTTCATTTACAAAACATAAGAAGAGCTCATAGAAACATGGGCAGATTAGTGAACGGCCTCAAGGCGCCACTGGATCAACCAAATGAACGTTTCAAAATTAGGATTCACCAGCGTGAGCGTCATAATAAAGGATCTGTAAATCATTTTTAAAAATCTGTGCTGTCAGTGTGGACTGTTATACGCAGATTAATGTTGTAAAATGAGTCTGAAAACTATTTGTAAAAGTGACACTGATGGGCAGAGTTGCATGTGTATTGCAAAACCAGGTAAAATGGCTTATCTTGCACTAGCCTGCCTTTATTTCATGTTTGACATTGATGCCTCTAAGCTGGTTAGGAAAGTTTCCCTTAAAAATCATCTGGGGACATAAGAAAGACCTTCACGGGACAGTAAGACCCAGAAACCCCAACCTAAAAGGCTTTTAGGTGGTAGGGCAGCCACGGGTCATTGAGTGAGTCAGAGGGGAGGGCCAAACATGCAAACTGGCTTTAAGCCATTCCGCCCTCATTTTAAAGTAGGGAAATGCACATCATCAACTCTATATTTTTATCCGCAGCACCAAATCTTACCTCTATTTCTCTGTCTGGGTTCTATGTGCGGTAAGATCCCACTTTCTCCTGTTCTCTCAGCTATTGCAAAACAAGCATTCATTTAAAACCAAAGCTTAGAATTTGAGCTCCAATAGCCCAAAATATATTGCTATCTGAAGCTGGTCCATAATTATACTGGGCAACCACTGCATGGATGTTCTTTGTACAGTAGATGTCAGTCTTCTGTCTTTCTCCTCAATGGTCTTCTGCTAGTTTGCTGTATAATCTGTGTCTGCAGGTCCCAGTGAAGGTGTTGCAAGCTCACAACGATGCTGTGACCACAGCTCGAGTCTGCTGCGACAATCGCTGCATCCTGAGCTGCTCCTCAGACTGCACCGCTGTCCTCTGGGTAAGCTGCTGTCATGGTCGGCAGTTTTTATGAGTTGATGTGCCTGTTTTGATTTTAGGGTTGGTTTACACTCGAGTTTCTAATGTCAGTTCAATTCAGTTTTATTTACACAGCGCCAAATCACAACAACAGTCGCCTCAAGGCACTTTATATTGTAAGATAGATCCTAGCCAACAATCATATGACCCCCTATGAGCAAGCACTTTGGTGACAGTGGGAAAGAAAAACTTCCTTTTAACAGGAAGAAACCTCTGACAGAACCAGGCTCAGGGAGGGGCGGCCATCTGCTGCGACCAGGAGATACTTTGTACATTGAATCTCCTGTTCCACCACATCCCCAAAGTTCTGTGGAGGCTGTTGGAGTACAGTTAACTCATCGTCATGTTCAAGAAACTAGTGTGAGACGATTTGAGCTTTGTGGCTGGAAGGAGCCATCAGAAGATGGTACACTGTGGTCAAATAGGCATGGAAATAGTCAGCAACAACACTCGGGTATGCTGTGGAGTTTAAATGATGTTTAAATGTTGCTAAGTTGACACCAAAGTGTGCCAAAGTGAACGTAACTCTACACTCTTAAGCTACCAGCAGCCTGAAATCAGGACACAAGGCAGGATGGATCAATCCCACCGTCTCAATGTCCCAACTAGAAATACAGAAGATCAGACAGTTCCAGTTTTTTTTATCGTCTTATTTTGGTGAGCATGTGTAAACTGTAGCTTCAGCTTCTTGTTCTTAGCGGACAGGCGTGGCTCCCCGTGTGGTCTGCTACTTTAACCCATCTTCTTCAAGGTTGTGTGCTGAGAGATGCTCTTCTGCAAACCCTGAGAGAAAAGCCTCGTATTTGTGTTTTTGTGTGTCCACATCAGTCTGTAGAATCTCAGAATCTGTGTTTGACTGAACAGCCTCTCTGTAGATCAGTTTTCTGATGAATTCATTCCACAGAAAGTTTAGGAATAAATCATCAGAAGGTTGTTCCATATTCACTCTTCCTGGTTGACCTCTGACCTGTGTAGGATGTGGGGAGCTGTCAGCCTCTGAGGACGTTTGATGGAGTTCACAGTAAAGCCATCACTGAGTGTGCTCTGATCCCAAACAGCAACAGGTGGGTTCCACATTAGCTTTAAATTCAGCTAGGTTATGATCCTGCAGCTGAGAGCAGATGATTTCTCTTTTGAATTTTGCAAACATTATGCCCTGGAAGCCAAAATCTTTCCACCTGTATTCCTTTTGTCTTGGTCAAAGCTGAGCTGTCGGGTCTTTTCAAGTGAGGCAGAAGTGATTTGGTGTAAAAGAAAGGGTGAGATGAACTTCTGCCAACATTTACAGAAGTAGCGTTAGAAGGTGGCGGTGTACAGGCCAACATTAAAACATTTTTTCAGTTATTTGTGCAGCTGGCCTTGTAGTCGATTACTGCAATGTCTGAATATTTGGAAAAATGAGTTCCCGTGAGCTCCCCGTCACTGTCACTGGAACTGTAAGCTCCACCAGCTGGTGAAGAGTCGCTGTTACCAAGACTGTAAAGTCAAGTAGACTTGTAAAAGTTGACTTTCTGAGATTTGTAAAACAAACAGTAGCAATTTTTGCACCTTTATCTGATGATAAAGTTGTTCAAATAAAATAAAAACCCAGTCAACTATGGACCTGCTGGAACAGCACGCCACCAAGCAGAGCACCAGGAAAAGATTGTTGTTAGGAAAAGTTTTTCTTCATTTCTTTGAGGAAAAAACATCTTTGTGAATTAATCGATGACTTATTCATCGTCCATGGACCCGTAAGGCTTCATGTAATCTCTCACGCTGATGAAAAAAACAGAGTTCACAAAAAACAACAATGCAGAAACGTCCATGTAGTAGCCTGAGTGCAGCTGTGAATGAAACGTTTGCTCTGTGTGTGTCAGGATGGTCACAGTGTCCTGGGATAAGAAGATGGTGGCCTGGGACCTGGAGACCGGACTCACTCTGGTAACGTCTGCCGTCACGCTCCTGGAGTTTCAAACCAGCAACCTTCCTGTGATTGGCTGCACACATTTCTCTGCGCTGGGTTCAGAGCACGTGTTTCTGCTCTTTCACACACATGGAATAAATTTGGTCTTTTTGCTTTTCTGAGCTTGACTCATTTTTATGATCTTTGTCGCAGTGGAAATCGAGGCAGCTCGGCCTGCTGACCTCCTGCAGCTCCTCGTCCGACGGCCGGCTGGTCGTTTGTGCTGTAAATCCTCAGAATGGCGTTTCCGTCTGCGACGCCGCCAGCGGACAGATGTTGCACCACGTCAGCGGTAGGACAGGTCACATGTTGCCCGGTCGGCAATAATACTCCTGTGAGCGTCAGTGAGCGTGTGTTTGCTTTGATCAGATCTTCACCGCTCCTGCATCACTCGATGTCGGTTCGACCCTCAGAGCCAGCGAGTGGCCACCGTCTCTGCAGACCGCAGCGTCAAACTGTGGGACCTGCGGGCGCAGAAAACCACCGTGTCCATCGACAGGTGAAGCATTTCAGTGACCTGTAGATGCTCTGAGCTCCTCTCCCGCTGTGTGGCTTTTGTCTTCAGTGTGAGACGGTACAAAATGATTCATCCAAAACACTCTGAAGCCTCAGATATTTATCAGATTCACAAAAGTTTGATGACAATTTTCAGACCCTCAGAGCAGCCCCCTGTGCACTTGTTCTTGTTTACATTCTCGCAATCAGTAACCATGGAAACGTCGTCTCAGCCTGCTGCTTCACCAGCAACGGGCACTTCCTGTGCACGGCGTCGTGGGACAAGACGCTGAAGCTGTGGGACCTGCAGGCGGGGGGGTTCCGATCTCACGGCGGGACGCCGCTGCAGGGAGGCCACGCAGGCAGCGTGAGTGCCTGCTGCCCCGCCGCTGCTGACGGTGAGACCTCTGAGCAAGGCACATTCCTGTTCAGGTGTCCTCAGCTGACGTCCTCAGATTCTCCAGTAACATTTGTGCTGAACTACGAGCAAGAGGCGGAGTTTGATTCGATGAACACTTTCTAAATCCATGTATGGACAAAAGAGTTCTTTTAATGTGTATTTTTAACTATTTAATTATTTATGCATTAGGATGTTAGCTAATAATGAAAATGAACAAAGCTCATCGTGTCGTGTGCTGTAAGCATGTTTTCTGCCCTCATTAAGAAGCAGACCTCTAAAGGATCAGAGGTCAGGTGGTTTAGACCTCTGGTGGTTGCACAGCTTAAGATTTGTAAGAAATGTCAGCACCTTAGAGTCCGTCATGCTGTTTACTATGTTTAGAAAGCAAGCACTGCTCACTGATGAGCTGATGTGTTTTTCTGCAGGTACTGGAACATGCTCAGTTCTTCCTCATAATGTTTGCCTAATAAAATCACTTCCTGTTGTGTTTCCTCAGCGAACCTCCTGGTGTCCGCCTCCTACGACAGGACTGTTGCTCTCTGGGATTTGTCGTCTCTCTCTCAGACTCTCGTGCTGAAGGTGATTAAACTCGGCTGTGTGAAGACATCCTGATGTTTCTGGTCGTGTTCTTTTAGACACTTAACTCCTGATTTTGCTTTTTCCCCCATCAGGGCCACAGTGATTGGGTGACAGATGTGTCAGTGAGTGCTGACGGGAAGTTGGTGGCTTCTTCCTCCAAGGTTCACAAGTATTTTCCCTCACAGTCCCGGCCAGAAGTTTTTGCTCCTTGAGCTTTTCTTTCTTTCTTTTTTTGTCCTGTCTTTCTCCCCTCACCCTCACCGTGCTCACCATCTCTGAGCCTGGGTCTGCTGGAGGTTTCTTCCTGTGAAAATGTAGTTTTTCCTTCCCACTGTCACCAAAGTGCTTGTTCACAGGGGGGTTTCTCTGTTTTATTGCAGGGTCTGGATGTTACAATATCATTGGTACCCTGGATGTTTAATCTGTTTTCTGATAATTCACCAGAGAAATGTTAAAAAACATTTTATGGAAATTTGGAAAGCAAACAGTGTTTAGTCTCCTGCATCTCACCTAAGACATCCTGTAACCAGGTACAGGACAAACAGACGTAGCCAGGATGCCAAGGCTGATGGTCTCAACATCAGTACTAAGAAAAGGCAGCAAATCAACATAACGCCACACAGGTCTGACTAATAGTGATGAACAGCTGGAACGTGCTGAAGGTTTCATGTATTTTGGCAGCCCAATCAGAGCAGAGTTTGACGTCCACGCGGATATTTAGCAGAGACGGACCAAAGCGCGTCATCTGAGAACAACACAGGTCATGCAGAAACTTTCTGATGCCGGCACATTTCACAGAAAGACGTCAGAGCAAGAAGTGGGTGAAGACACCAAAGGGTGTGTTTGTTTTGTATTCTGAGCTGGTCAGCTGTAAGCAGCATCATGGGCCCAGGACGGGTGGAGTCAAAGTTCCTTCCTATCTGTCACAATGAAGAAAACTAGCTGCAGGGTCACATCACCATGTGGGACTGATGGAAAGATCTCTCGTTCACCTGCATTTGGACTCCAGGACCATCTTCAAGCTGTGATTCCTTCAGTGTCAGTAATTATATAACAGAGTCACATTTGAAGCCTCGTGACTGCAGCTCATGGCTGTGAAGTTCAGTGCAATTCAACCCTCTGTCAGGATCAGAGGATGCTCTCCACTCAGTTTGTTGCTTCATTTCCTGATGAAGATGAAGGTGTTTTTGGGGCACATATCATTTTTAAATATTGAAGGTTGAATTTGAAACTCTGTTAGACGACGACAACAATTTCACCGCGTCTGTCTCTGCAGGACGGGACTGTTCGGCTGTGGGACATAGAGAACATGGAAGAAATCCCAGAGGTCATGAAGAAGAGGAACGCAGAGGGAGCGGGAATTCACATCCTCAAGGTCTGAGTCGTTCATGGATCCTGTGTCCTTTTTTCTCTGATTTAAATGTTTTAGACTCCCCACAGCTGCTGGTGGTCTGTGATGACGACACTGTGTGTGTTTGCAGTGTGAAGAGTGTGGAAAGCCATTCCCAGTGTCCAGACTGCTGACCTCAGAGCTGCTCACGCAGTGCGTCTTCTGTCGCCTCAAATCGCCACCCAGATACCGACCGCAGCCGCCACTGCTTACATGACTTCCTGCGCAGGAGGAAATGTTGCACTAAGTTTTGCAAGGTCTAGTTTTTAAACCGAAAATCGAATCTGATGTTAAAATGATTCCGAGTATGAAACTCTGTAATCCTGGTTCTGATAATGCTGCTGTATAAATAAATGTGTAAGTTCTTTGAGTCTGGAGTCACACATCTGTCTGCTTCCCAGGTGTTTGGTGGCTCATATAAGCTTTACATCACCTCCACCTCCACCCACGCTGCCAAGCTCATGAATCCAGTCTGAGGTGTTTCTGGATGGACTTCATATGTTCTGCTGTGTCTGTGGGTCCTTCCCAGTCTAAAGACATGCGTGTGGTGATTTGAAGTTGCCCACCCGTGTAAGCTCTCCAGGATGTGTCCAGCTGACCCACGTAGGTGGTTACACAGCATATCAATAAAGAGAGGTCCAAGGAAGGAAGCGAATATGATTTATTGAAGTACAGAATTCATTTTGAGATATTTGTCTCTGATGGCATTGAATCCCGGCGGGATCGGGATTAGTGCAGGGACACCGGTGGTGGAGATGAAGATGCTTGAATGGAGGTGGGTTGCACAAAGGCATCTGCAAGTGAAATGGCAGATGTGCACAGAGATTTAAAGTACGTGTAAAGGTTGATTGGCCTGAAAGATGATTGGACCAGACCAGTGATGTCACAATCAGCTGACAGCATGGGAAAGTGGAAGTGATGTGATGCGTAGATTAGCCACCAAACATCTGGGTGTGTTGAACTCAGCTGAAGTGACGCCTGAAATGCATCTTTGGATTTCAGTAACTTGTAGCTTTTTTAGATAAAGGTTAAGCGTAGTGGTTGATGATGTCATCGAGCTTTAGTTACACACACACACACACACACACACACACACACACACACACACACACACACACACACACACACACACACACACACACACACACAACAGGCTGTTATGTGAACAGTGACCTTTGTATTGCGACGTCTGTTTTAAACTGGACGCTGGAGAAAAGCACAACTGATTCAGATTTCATGCACAAACATACTTTATAACATTTGAAACTATTCAGTCTTTAATTTTCTACAGAAATCCGTCAGAGTCTGCGACGGCGTCTGCAGTGAGCTGCTGCGAGTCTTCGCCGCATCATTCGCTTCTGAGCGCGACTCCGCTGTGTTACAAAGCACCAAAGGTGAGGTCACATCAGTGACTTGATTTGCCACAAAAATGCGATTTTAGTCGAGTCGTGTGTTTCATAATCTGCGTTCGATGAGTCTGTTTTCTTTGCACTTTTTTCCACGTACAAACTTTTCCAGCTTTGACAGACAGAAAAACGTCCGTGTTTTTTCACTTGTGCTAATAAATCATCTTTGCCATCTCTCCTGGACTGGATTCGATGCTGAGATCTCGCTCTGGAGCGAAGTGTCGGACGGACTGATGTCGCCTCCAGCAGAGCAGCTGCTGATCTCCCATCATGTGATCACAGAGGAGGTTTTAAACATGGCGACCCCATCACGCGGAGCGTCCGCGCCGCGTCAGAAGGTGCTCTGTAGCAGACAGTGGCAGCCGCAGCCGGCCGGACACTCGTCCTGCCGCCGAAACCAGTCCATCATGTGACTGGTGTGTCCTCCGTGGCCGCAGCTCAGGCAGAAGTTGGAGGAGCCGCGGACGGCGACGTGACAGATGGCGCACTGGAAGGTGAGGCGCTTGCAGACAGCGCACTGCGTCCCACGAGCCTGACTGCGGCAGTGACAGCAGTACACGCCAAACTCTGCAGAGAGACGACAGAAGAAGAGCGTCAGCAACACCTGCGGACACAGAGCGTCTTCACCTGTGTGAGGTTTGTCTTCCTCAGAGCTTTAAATACTTAGCTGTGCCTCTATTCTTTGTTTACTCTCTTCACATTCTTCTAACATTACAGTTTTCCTTTATAGAAAGAAACCTGAACACGTTTCTGATTGGTCAGATGCTGCAAACCCCGCCTCTTTCCTGTGTGTAGCTAGATAAACCCTGGGTTTACTCTTCGTGTGACTCCTTAGCTTGAATGATGATGTTAGGGTAACTGAAGCTGGATAACAGAGACATGCTGGATAGTGCACAAGTGAATCAGAGGTGCAGGTGAGGTCGCTGCAGTGTAAGTTAGTCTAGTCACGCGTGTTATTTCATTGTTCTAACACATCAGCGACTTCTTCCCCAGAAGACGCACCGATGCCTTTGTGAGGTTCGGGTGGGCAGGAGGCGAACTTGAGCACTTCGGCTCTCTTGTCTCGCAGACCCCAGCGGTACAAGATTTCACCGTAGCACTTCTTAAAGTCGTCAAACTGCAGTGTGTTGGCCGGGTCCAGAAGCCTGCACAGGGAGAGGAAGTGACATCAGACTGACAGCTGGGCAGATATGATTAGGCGCAGCTGGAGGCGGAGCTATGTCACCTCTTGTTCATCACGTGCTGCTCTCGCTCGCGTTCTCGCGGGTCTGTGTAGCCCTGGTTGACATAGCGGTAGTCGTCGGGAGAGGATTCGCCCCACGGGTTGGCGTGCTCAGAGTCTCGACCTGGAAGTTAAACAAAAACAGGAGATGAATCCAAACATTCCCAGAGGCGGCGTGTGTGAGGAGCTGAGGAGCCTCACCTGGGTTCCAGGTGGTCGTGGTGATGGAGTCAGAGGTGCTGGAGCAGGAGCCCGAGGTGACGGAGCTGGACGTGTAGCTGGGCTGAGATAGCCAAACACACACATTACATCACTTCCTGTAGCTGATTTTACTGTAATGACCTAAACAAACCCTGTGGAGTCAGCTGGTGTGGAAGTCAAAGAGCCGAGTGGGCGCTTAAAGTTTTTATTTAAAAAATAAACTCTCATCCAAAACTAAAGCTAAAATCAATTCTTCTAAACAGGATTTCCCAAACATCACGGTACCTCAGCTCAGCTGTTTCCATTTCTGTCAATAAGCAGCCTTTAATCTGACTCACATAACGAGCGTGGTGCGGGGGGAACGCGGAGGCCCGTGACGTATGGTGCCCGAATAGTGCGTAAGAGTCTGGAGGCGGAGCCTGAGCTTTGAACACGCTGCACAGCATGGCCAGAGTCTGAACGTCACTTATCTGACTGTAGTGATCCAGGCTGAAACACAGAGAATCAACATGTGAATCAGCTGCTCCGTCACCCAAACCGAGAGCTCAACGCGGCACAGGCGTGGCGATCAGGAGCCTCAGCTTTGCTCTCAGTAACTCACAGAGTCTCCAGCAGGTGGCGTCCGAATGGGTGTCTGGCCCAAGGAGTCTCCATGTCCGGGTCAGAGTCTGGGCTCAGGTCCTGATTGGTTGCTGCAGACGCCAGAGCCCAAACCTGCACAGAGAGGCGGGTTTAGAAGAGGCGGACAGCACCTCTGGTTCAGTACTTTCTGCTCTCTTTATGTGGGGAACACTTCAGCCACAAACTAAACTCAGTTTTAACTAAACTCACTTTGCTTCCCTGTTCTGTGATTTTGTTACCTCGTCTCTAAAACCTTCCTGGCTCCACGTTTTGTATAGTTTCTACTTGTGTAGCATCAACAAAAGCATTCAAAATCTGATTCAAATGCAAGTTAAAAATAAAAAGGATGCAAGCACCAACCTTCGCCACGTCTCTGCGTCCGACAGCGAGCGCCGCTGCTGCGTTCTTCTGACACGTTTCCTGGATGTCGTTCATGTTCAGGCTGAAGAGAGAAAATAAACCTGTAACGATCAGCGCGAAACACGAACGTGAAGAATTTCTTTACATCACAACAGCCATCATCTCGATGTTGTGAAGGCTTCTGGTGAGGGGGGGTAAATCCATCTTTTATATACAGTCTATGCTTTGGCTTTGACTGTCTGTGTGATAGTCGGGCGATCCAAACCTTCCTGCAAAGGCTCATTTCTCTTGTTCTCTCGATTGATTGTTGATTAGTTAATCTGACCTTTTCAATAAATAAAATAACAGAAATAAGTCAGAGACACAGTTTTCTATCATAAGCAACTGAAAGGCATCAAATGCTCCTGTTTCAGAGGAACCAGAGGATTATTTTGGCCTTTACGCTCGGCTAAATCTGTTTAAATGAGTTTCTGTGAATCAGCTGTGATGTGACTCGAGTGGGTGAGTGTTTGTTTTACAGCCTCGTGTCTCACATGTAGTTCTCTCCCAGAGTTTTGTGGACGGGCAGCAGGCAGGAGATCTCCTGGATGATGACTTTTCCAGCCAGTTTGATCGGACGGTTGCCGTAGTCCGTCCCCTCTCGCTTCGTCTTAAAGCGGCGGGATTTCTAACAGACAGAGACAGACAGACAGCGAGCCGAGAGGACACAACAGAGCACCACCTGATTAAAAGTGGGCCGGAGGACGGTGTTCTTCAAGAGCCTGTTCACACTGCGAGACGCTGACTGACCAAAGACTCCGAGCTTTGAGATTAAGTGATTGTTTGTTTTTAAGGGTACTTTTTGTAACTTTGTCCAGGGAGCTCTCCTCCCAGACCTGGATGACGGCATCAATAAGCTCCTGTCTGTAGCTGTTAGGCAGTGTCAGATGCACCGATACACAACGCCTACCAAAGGTCTCAGTGGGATTTATGCCTGAGGAACATGAGAGCCGGTCCATGGCATCACAGAGGATCTCTGGCCACGTGAGGTCAGGCACCAGGAGGAAATCAGCGTGCACGGGACCATCATGAGGTCTGACAGATACTGGTCCTACAGCCCCATGCAGCTCTCCTCCACCAGGCGACCCATCTCCTGGTAGCTCCTCCACACTCTTTGCTGGGAGACACAGCAAACCTGTGCTATCCTACCAGGTACCATCTCGTGCTACGAGCAGTGACGAGGATGGTTGTAAAAAGCTAAAGTAAAGAGAAATCGGTGAGGAGAGAGCGACGGTCTCATCGTGGTCTCGCCGGTGCACCTGTGGTCACTGTGATTTGAACCAAAGCAGGTCAAACGGATTCACAGTCCTATATTCTTCCTAACTGAAGTGTCCTCACTTTGTTATACTGCGATACTCGAGTCCTCCTTTGACTGTTTTGGACCACAGGAGACTTCAGAGGGGAATTCTTACACACCAGACTGTCGGGAGATCTTTTGGTGACCTCTAAAAAAGTCAGAAAACCAGAATCGAACTCGGGCCGCTGCACTCATCTTTCAGCACCTGTGTCACCTGTGACCTACGCCAGCGCCCTTTTTCCTCTCTTAAACCAGGAAGTGAAACTCTTGACATTAAAAATCTCACCTGGAAGGTCAAAGACAGGCCGGATTAACCCAACAACATTCTTCATGGGTCATAAACTTCACCTCAGCAGTTTCCGAGCCTTCCCGCAAAGATGTGTTTATGTGTTCACTTTGTTATTGATAAGAGGGCGATTAGTGCTGATTGATTGATCTCCATTTGATCGTCGTCCTCGGCAGCTCGCAGTGTGAACACGGTTAGCTTCCAGTTTAGTGACACACGATTATGCGGCCAAGTTATTTTCAATAATAAGTTGCAGCTCTGCGCTGAGACTTACCTGGACGTGTTAAATGTTAGTGAACATTCAAAGCTTCACACTTTGATGAGCAGACAGGAAGTCGGGCAGCAGGGTTATTGCAGCACCGTTACATGATTTAAGTTCAGTTATGTGCTCAGAATTATCGGTCATGCTAACGCTGCAAATTAACCTAAAATCACTGCGCTTTCATCCCACGCTACCTGAGGGAAGTTGCCTTTGCTGTGAACCTTTGGAGTTGCTGCAAGAAGCAAGAGGAAGTCTGTCTTTTATTTTGAAAAACAAAACAACTTAAATTCTTCAAGCACCAAAGCCCTGCAGCATCCAATCCAAGTGCAGCAAAGTAACCCCAGCTGCTCAAACGCCACCATCCTGATGTTAGCGTCTTTACATCAGCTTTGCCCCGAGAGCTTCTACCTCTGTGAGCCGCTGCTGAGGCCCGTGTCCAGAAACACGTCTGCGTCCACGCCACAGTTTCACGGATTCTTCCTTCACCCGCGCTCCACCTCTGCACCGCCTTTATCAAACCCTCGCTGACAGACGAACAGCACTCTGCTGTAAACTTACTAACTATGACAGACATGTTTTTTTAGCACTTTTAAAATGTACAAAACACTTTTTTCAAACCTTTGAGTTAAAACTTCTTCAGATTGTGACACTTGCAGTTTTTCACAGAGCGTAAATCAGCCCTGAGTTTCTCATGACACACTTAAATCCAGAACACATAATTTAATATTGTTATTAAATTAGCAGAATCAGGATGTGTTAGTCGAGGCGGCTGCAGCCAATCAGTGACATGCAAAAAAACCAAAGTTAACCCCGAACGCTGAGGAAAAGCCCAGAGCGAGGAGAGGAGAGGACGGAGGCGGAGATCAGGAAACGGGGATGGGTGCTCGGATGGAGGAGCTCAGTACCGGCCAATCGTGGAGGGTTTGGACAGACCAGCGGCGGGAGGCAGAGATTGGGAGCTTCGGATAGTAAGGAGGAGGAGTGGCCCACAGCGGCATGGGGGAAGGGGAGCGGGTGATTGGCCGGAGAGAAACAGGAACACAGGAATAAAAAAACAAAACAAACAGAAACTGATCAGAGAGGACGGGACAGGAAACAGCAGCAGCGTTCAGCTCGACAGGGGCGAGCGGCGAGGGTTCTACTTCCTGTCAGGGTCCAGACTCAGGAGTGTTTCTTCACACCTCACTTACACATGAGTTTGTTTGGCAGCACTTTATAACAGCCTGTGACTGAGGCAGAGATTGTTTTAAAAACTAATTCCTATAGAAATGACAACATCAGCGTTCCCTTCCATATCGAAGCCTGTCAGATGTCACGCCCTGATTCGTCACATGACCTTTTCCAAGAAGAAAACAAATACACAGGCTTTAACTGCCAGTGGTTAATTCAGCGCGGATACACAGCTGCCGCTAAGCTAGCCAGAGCTTCCAGCAGTTCACTGCGGCCCCCCGCTGGGCCCAAGCGCCAAGGATGTGTATGTTTATTTTAGCTCACGTAGCTTTTCAGCCATTTTTACACAAAGAAACAATTAAAAACACCAGGCAGATGTTATGGCTGTTCAGCTGATAGCCACCAGCTTACTTTCCACTGTTCTGATTTTAATGGCCAACAGGGGGCGCTACTCTGGATGCAAAAAGACTTCAAAGCCATACAGACAACAGGAAACAGCCTTCGACTCCGTGCTCTGATGATGATCTTATTGTCTGTAATACTGAGTAAAACATAAATTATTCATCAGGAGAGAGGATTACACAGCCGTCAGCCAATCAGTGTGCACGGTGTGATCAATCACAAGCTGTTACCCAATCAGTGTGCGGTGTTCTTGGGTTGTCACTCAGATCCACCCGTCTTCCGTCAAACGCTCAGCTCGAGCCATCCAGAACAGGCTTCACCAAACAACCGGTTTCCATCTTTTATACGATGAACAGTTTCACTTTTATAAGTGGTGCATATAAAAGGCTAAAGCAGCCACAGGTCTAACAGGTCCTCTGACACAAACGCTAGAAGCTGCTGCACAGTTCAACTCTGCAGGTCAAGTTCCAACCGCCTACAAACAACAACGCCCAGTGTACGGGAACGGTCATGTGATATTTGTTTCCATGCATGTCGGCTCACTCTTTATTCTGGGCTCATCTAAAAGGGAACTCCTTTCTGGATTATCTGCAACCTTAAAAATAAATCGGTGTTTGATTTGAGTGTCACAGCCAGAACAAAAGCCCAGCTCAACCCAGAAGGCTCAACATTAGAGGACTGGTACGATATTTCTGTAATGCAAAGAATCCTCTATCTCACAACAAACAACACATGTTCTGTTTTCTGTAATCAGCCTGCAGACAGAGGAAAGCTGAGGTCACTGTAAACACATCAAAGCAGCGACAGCTGTGAAACTAACGGTGCTGAGACCGTTTTCAGAGTGGACGAATCTTAACACAGTGTTATGACTGAGACCCCGAGAGACTCCCGGGAAAACTAGAGGCTAAACTAAAGGGACCTGTGTGTGTGTGTGTGTGTGTGTGTGTGTGTGTGTGTGTGTGTGTGTGTGTGTGTGTGTGTGTGAGAGAGGGTCTCACCCGTTCTTTGTAGTAGAAGGAGGAGATGGAGACGGTGTCTTTATCCGAGCGAGTCGGGCTGCCGCTGTAAAGCCGCAGAGTGCTCTGAGACTCTGAACGCATCTTCATCGGAGTCAGGACCCCGCTGTGATAGGCCGACAGAGCCGACAGGGACCTGAACACACACACACGCAGGTTCGTGTACTTTATCCGAGCTCCATCAAACAGAACCACAACAGTTTATAACCACAGCTCGCATCCACAGACATGTTTGGATGTTTCATTATCAGACGGATACAACGAAACAAAAAACATCCATTTAAAAGGAAAATGTTTGGATTATGTTAATTAAATGCACTTTTCTTTAATATGTCATAAATACCTGGATAAAAACCAAACTGAGCACATCCATGTCGGCTAAAAATCAAAAGTCACTGCTCAAAGCCTTCAGGATTAGAGCTGCAGGGACACTTTAAAGTTTGTCTCCATCATGTGTTCAAAACATGAACACATCGCCATGAAAACAGGCGCTGACACGGGAGGAGATCCGACGCCAAAGAAATTTTCAAGATAAGTTGTAAACTTTGCGTCATCTGTTTCCTACAAATCTGATGTTTGTTTATAAAAATGTAAAGAAATGTTGACATGATTGTTAAAAAAAAGAGGTGTGGTATCTTACCTGGGAGTGGGCTCTGTGGGCGGGGCAGAGCGGTGCATGGTTATCGGTCGGGTGAAGTAAACGAGACAGCCGGTGCCACAAAAGCGAGCTCCGGATGTCCGAGGGAACGGGATGTTGGCGTCCTGGAAGGAAGCAGAAATCTCCTGTGACACTTTGAGAGCGTCAGGCAGAAACGACCCTTCAGCTGTCACATGGAGAGGACAGAAGAAAACTATCCTGCACAGAGTAGGTTACCTGGTGCAGGTGTTACCTGGTAGGAGCCGTAGGTGTTGGTGACTCGAGGAAACGCCTGCAGGGACGGAGTGACGGGGTTGGACAGGACGAAGGGGCCGGAGGCCGGACTGTCCTCCTGCGTCTGAGACAGGAAACAGACAGAGCAGTGATTGGCTGAGATTTTGTTACAGTCACATGACTGTTTTCCTATACCAACATAAACTTATGTAAAAGATAAACAAAAACAAAAATAATTTGTACATGAAATTCAACAGAATATCCCTTATCCTTCTCAGGGTCACGAGGGGGAGCTGGGATATATCCCAGCTACCGTAGAGCGAGAGGCGGGTACAACCCGGACAGGTCGCCAGCCTGACGCAGGGCTAACACAGAGACAGACAACCATTCACATCACAGTCACACCTACAATCAATTCACCAATGAACCAACCCCACTAACTGCAAGTCTTTGGACGGTGGGAGGAAGCCGGAGTACCGGAGAGAACCCACGCACACGCAGGGAGAGCATGCAAACTCCACACAGGAAGACCCCGGAGTCAAACTAAGGACCTTCTTGCTGTGAGGCAACAGTGCTAACCACCACACCACCCTCACCAGAATACAGCAAACAAAGTTTCCCCACAAAACAGAGCCTACACCTGCGAGAGCGAGACAGGTGGTAGTGGAGCAGCGCCCCCAGGTGTGGTCCGTTTAAAGGTTCTGGTGTTGCTGGTGGAGGACTTCAGGGACAGACACGTGACGTTATTCTCACCATATCAGACTCCAAGCAGGACACGAGCTGTCGGACGCACGGCTCCAGGCAGTTCTGGTTCCTCTTCACCTTCTGCAGAGACGTGTCTCTGAGGATCTGAGCACAGGGAGACGCCTCAAACACAGACCTCACTGAACTACAGCTTCAATCACAGTCAGTTTGATTTAAAAAATACAGAAGAAATCAGAGCGTGAGCTGCATGCAGCCTCCAGCATACACAGGTCTGGTTTACTGACAGCGTGGTGCGTTCGGGTACCTTCTGGATCTTGGTCTTCATGGCAGAGGGGATGGTCGTCGGGGAGACAAACTGGAAGGTGGGCGCGGCGTTGTTTGGATACTGAGCCGGAAACTTTACCACCAGGTGAACCTGATGGCTCCCGAAATGAGCCGACACCACGCAGCTGTGGTTCAACGCGTCCATCTACACAAAACAAACATCACCAATCAGTCTGATTTCAATGATCGTCCATCAGTGAGCTCAGGACTGCTCGCCCTCCTTTGAAACGTTTCCTCACTACCATCAGGCACCAGCTCACCTCCACGTTGACGTTTCTAATCTGCAGGTTGACCAGAGAGAACTCCTGCTGCAGAGTCTGAGCGAGACCTGAACCTGCCGCCGAGTCCTGAAGACCTCCAGCAGTCAGAGACCCGTCCTGATCTGAGAGATGCATACAGAAAGGTCAGAGGTCAGACTCAGACTGGACCTGGATCAATGTTACATCTGCTTACAGTCAGAGTTTTCTAATATCCTCTGCTGCAGCCTCACGCGTTCCTGGAACACTTCTTTTCGCATGCTTTCATATAGTTTCACATTGAGACGGTAGTGACGTCTGTGTTAGCCGTCAGTTAGTGTGCAGTCAGTGAAACGTGTGAAGGCAGCTCGTCGTCTCACCCTGCAGGCTCTCCGAGGCGGGGCCCCCGCTCTGCTGGCCCTCCGACTCCTGAGACGACAGAGGCTTCTCCGACTCCGCGGTGAGGGACATCGCGTCCATCAGGTCCTCCTGCACGTCACTGACACACAGCTACACAACAAAAAAACAGCACAGATATCAGCCAATCAAGTCTCTGTGTGAGCTCGTCCCCGTGACGCCGCGTGCTGACCTTCTGCAGCTGAGGATCCACCCTCCATATCCTCAGAGTCTGATCTCTGGACCAGGTGACCAGCTGGTAGTCCTTGGAGCCTGCAGGGGAAACAGCGACAGGGCGTCACTGAAGAGGAGAGAAAACAGCCACAAACCTCCGCTCTGCTTTTCCCCATCTCTGCAGCGAGTTTCACCTTCTTTCTGCGGCCGCCACTGGAACTCCAGCACCACGTCGTCGTGTCCCACGAAGGCGTGGACGGGGCTGTTGAGGTCGAGCGTACTCCACAGTAAAAGGCTGTTCTCCCTCCTCAGCTGAGGAACCATCACCGTGACCAGACCATTGGAGAACGGCTGACGAGGCAAAAACACACTGAGCTGCTTTTTCCTCAGTTTTATAACCAAGCGCAAATCCAGCGAGTCTGCATGTGACTGGAGGATGCACAGCAAACTGCACAAATCCAGATTTGACCACGGTTATAACCCGCTCGGGGCAGTTACTGAGCCGCTGCGCTTGTTAGCAGGGTGCTAAAGGTTCGCTTGGATCCGAGTGATGTAAATTTCCTCAGCACGCGAAGGCGCCGTGCCCCCCAATTTGTTGTGATCTGATGCTAAGGCAGCAGAAACTGTGACCCCAGGCGAACCAGGAAATATAAGCTGTCTGTGTGCATTTCACCACGAGCAGCACCCTGCAGGAGGGTGGAGGCCGTGATGGAGGCCATGAAGTCATCATAAAAGTGGACACAGATCAAAGGATCTGAGGGTTTTTCCCCTCACACACTTCTACACAGCCTGCAGTATTTTTGGAACCAGAGTGGCGCCCCCTGCTGACCATTAACATGAATGCAGGGTTAAGGCACTTCCATGTTTGCTTCACCTGTCAGACCCTGAAGCTTCATCCTTTTTATCCCACTACAGAAGCACAAACACGAGGCCGACACTCACCGTGTACCTGGCCTTCCACACCGGCACCTGACACGACAAGATGTTCAGGTACTTCCTGGGCTGCCGGTAATCCCAAAACTGCACAAAACATGAAAAGTTTATTTTTCAGATGTTTTTCTGCTCGTGTGCATTTAAAGAATTATTTAAACATGTCTGCGGTGCTTTTGTGTCTCTTTTTGGTGATTTGGGTCTTTCTGTGGTGTTTTTTCATCCCTCTGTTTTGGTTTTAGGCGAATCAGCTGGTTGGTTTTGCTTTTTCTTCCTCGTGAGCCTGTTCAGTAACACAATACTCTGAGAGCTTTGAGTGCTCAGGTAGAGTAGAGGTCACACTGACAGACGCAGCTCTGAATTCTGTTTTTCCAGCTGGGACGTGCGTGCGACAGGATGTGAATCTGCTGTTTCTCGAGTGTTTCGCATGCTTATTTGTGGCCTCTGGGTTTTCTCTGCTCTCACCCTCACTGAGTTGTCCTGGCTGGACGTGGCGAAGATGAACTCGCTGTCCGGATGCCAGTCGAGGCCGTGGATCTTGGACAGGTGAGCGGCCACGTATTCTGCCGCCGTGTTCGGCTTCTGCTCAGAGGAAACACGCACCGTGAGACGATTGAGTGCGTTCACGTGCACACGTCAGCCCGAAGCCAGTGAGTCAGGACGGGAGCGCTCACCCTTTTGTCCCAGATCCGAACGTCACCGTCGTGACTGGACGCCAGCAGGTTCTGGTTCTTCTTGTTCCACTTCACCTGAGACGCCCCAGCTGGCAGGAGGGAGAACTAGTTTGTAATTAGAGAGTTAACCAAGCAAAGTTCATCCATCACTACAGCTGACTTTAACATTCAGTTGCTTTTTTTCCCACATAATATTGCATTTAAGAGCAGTTATGGTGCATTCAAAGACACTCAGCCATCTGGACGTCTCAGGTTTGCTGTCGTTTATCCAAAAGACAAAAAAAGAAAGAGAGAAACAAAACAAACCAAATGTAGTAAAAATGTGATTTCTGATTGGATTAAACTCAGTCTCCGCCTCTGCTCACAGCTGCATCAGCACATGACAATAATAACCAATGAAAGGCCGGAGATCAGTGATAACGATTACTTTTTTCAAGTAACGAGTAAAGTAAGGGACCAGTGTTACTTTCCTGTAAGCACACTGCACTACTAAACCGTGATTTTGTTTGCGAGTGTCCCATGAAGATGACGTCCGAGCGTGCGACGTTCGTGGTAACAGACGTGTGCAGATCAACAACGGGTAATATGGAGTGCAGGGAGAGTACGACTGTGCAGCGTTTAAAGCGTGGAAGTACTCACATTACTTTGAGTTTGATTCCAGAAAAAGTGACAAAAACATTAGTGTCCGCTGTTCACTCTGCGTGGGAAGAAAACTTTTTACAGCGAAGAAAATCCCAAAACTTCTGAGCGAGCAGCGAGCTCGCTGCCACGGGAATGTGAAATTCACAGAGAAACCTCCGGATCCTCCCACTGACACGACCTCTACGGCACACCTGCACCAGGGCAAACCTCCACCCGCCCCACTCCTGCTAAACAGGTGACCACAGATTTAAGATCGACAGGACTCAGTCCTGTCCTGTAATGGATTAAAAGTCCTGAATGTTTGATTTTATTTCTTTCTGCTGTGTTTTACTTGCATCTATTTGAAGTGTAAACACAAAACATTATTTTATTTTCTGCGCTGGAATAAAGAGAAACAGTAGAATTGGGCTGAAAGGTCTGTCACTTTATTACATATTCATGTGTGTCATGTTTTTAAAAAGTAACTGAGTAACTAATTACTTTTGAAAATAATCAGTAAAGTAATGAGAATACTTTTTTGGAGAAGTCATCAGTAATTAGTTACTAATTACTTTTTTCAAGTACCTTGACCAACACTGATCATTACAATGTAAAACCTCTAAAGTACTTCAGACGTTGTTACTGTTTGAAATCATTTATGGTTTCATTTCATGTAAAACTGTTGGGTGTGACTTCCTCGACCCGCTGGTTCTAAATTTTAGCAGTTATTAGGAACTGATATATACATTACGAAGTAATTACCAGCTTGAACACATTTGCCTAAATCTAAATGGAGACTTTTCAAGGATCCCCTTAGAAGTTGACATGAAATCGTTTATAAATGACAATAAAGCTGAGACGCTACGCTGATGCAAAACTGAAAGTGTTGGCGAGGCAGTGAGGACGGTAAAGAGAAAAACATATGAATGAATAAATGAGCAAAGAAAAAGCTTGTTTGGTGTTTACATCGGTAAAGTGCGCGCTCTCTGCTCTGCCCTCTCGTTTAATCCTGAGCCCGACTCCATCAGGACATCAGGCTTTCGTGGACGCGTCCCCTTATAGCACACAAACCAGCCTAACTCTGACTGACTGTGAGGAGGTCAGTTAGACTCAAACTGAATGTGTCAGCTGTGTGAGGTCATGTGGACACTGACGGAGGAAACAGTCCCGCCCTTTAAATACTCACCGACCGCGGACAGCGCCAGCGTGGGTTTCCGAGTGTCTCTGTGGGGTCAAAGAATCAAAAATCACTCAGAAGTATTGTCGGGATTCTTCAGACGATCATCACTTCCCTGTGACCTCTTAGTCTAACTGATGATGTCAGGCTAAGAGAAGCCAGATAACAGAGATATCCTGGGTTTGTTAAACCAGCTTCGTAGTCCAGGCCACGAATCAGGATAAAGATAATTTTACCAGCGAAGCTCGTCGTAAGCACACTTGTTATATCAGGTTACATGTTAATGCGGGAACGTGTGAATGTTTTGTCTTAGACAGATAATAATAAATAATAAACATGATACTGGAAGGTCTTCCTTTGCTCTGACCTGGTGTCCCAGATGTAGATGTAGGTGTCCACGGAGCTGGTGACCAGGAACTCGGGTTCAAACCAGGACCAGTCCAGATCGCTGCGGACACGAACACATCAGTGAGGCCGGACCGCGTTTACCCGCTGATGGGTGCGTTTGATTTGATCTGCTGTTACCTGATGACCCGGGTGTGCCCCTGCAGGGAGGTGTGCGTTTCGCCGCAGCCGTCCCTCCACGAGTACAGATCCACCCGCTGGTTACTCTGAGGACAACACGCACACACGTTCAATACACACTGGGAAACACACAAACCCTCCACCTTCTTTACCTACACGACATTATTTCTGTTGCGATGATTTTATGATGAATTATTCTGGAGGTCTCACTCACAGAGGCGGCGAAGACGTGGGCGTCTGATCTGTGCGGGTTCCACTGGACCGTCCCCACGTCCCACTTACTCTGTCGCCCGATTTTCCGCGACGGTTCAGACGGCAACTCCAGGTTCACCAGGTACAGGAAGCGACGCCTGCGGCACGATTACGGTGACAGAAGGTAAAATCGTGTGAATTTAAAATCTTCAATCATTAAAAATTACAAAAATATGCTGCAGGAGAAATGAAGCATTTGTCACTGGAGAACAGGAACAACACAAATGAAGCCACTAGCCACTCCAACATCATTGTGAAGTTTGCGGACGACACTACAGTGGTGAGACGGCCTACAGGGAGGAGGTCAGCGCCCTGACCCACTGGTGTCGAGACAACCATCTCACCCTCAACGTCGCAAAGACAAAGGAGTTGATAGTGGAGGTGCAGAGAAGTACACACCCCCATCACCATCAACGGCGCTGCTGTGGAGAGTGAGCAGCTTCCGGTTCCTTGGCGTACACCTGGCTGAGGATCTTACGTGGTCAGTACACACAAACAAAACAGTGAAGAAGGTGCAGCAGCGCCTCTTCTTCCTCAGGAGACTGAAAAGATTCGGCATGAGCCCCCGCATCCTCAGGACCTTCTATCACTGTGCCATTGAGAGCATCCTCACTGGATGCATCACCACCTGGTATGGCAACAGCACCGCCTACAACTGCAAAGCTCTCCAGCGAGTATTGCGGTGTTCTGAACGGATAATTGGAGGTGAGCTTCCCTCCCTCCAGGACATCTACAGGAAGCGGTGCCTGAGGAAAGCGGGGAGGATCATCAAGGACTCCAGTCACCCCAGCCATAAACTGTTCAGACTACTTCCATCAGGCAGGAGGTTCTGCAGCATCTGGTCCCGAGCCAGCAGACTGAGAGACAGCTTTTTCCATCAGGCCATCAGACTGCTGAACACGTCATAGACACCTCAGCTTCACTACTGGAACTTTAACATTATGCACTCCACACTGTATATAAATGCCACTTGTTTTGCACATGTCCAACTGCCAACCTCTGTATATTTTATTTTATTGTTTATTCTATTTAATTTTTTAAATGTGTATATACACACACACACGTAGATATACATATTTAGTATACACATTCAGTAATGTGCATACACTCTTATATTGTACACATATTTATTCATATAACTCTCAGATTTAGCCGTTCTTATATTTTGCTTGTTTTATGTTATTGTATTTTGCACACCTGCTTGTGAAGCTCGCACACAAGAATTTCACTCACATGTGCTGTACCCGTGCACCTGCACATGTGATGTGACAATAAAAGTGATTTGATTGGAAGTAAATATGAGAAAAAATATATTAATTATTATTACCTCAATATCTGTATCTCATTTGTATCTCTTAATCTTAGATCATTTAAAATTTTATTACAGCTGACTTTGTCTCAGTGTTAACTTCTTATTAATAATATTTTTTTAAATTAATATTTGACTTTTCTTAACCAAAGTTTGACTTTCTTGAAACTCTAAATAATGACATAAAAAATTTCATAGCTGCAAATTTCAAATGTTTTCATGTCATAAATCATAATGAAGTTGATTTTTTATATAAATATAGATCGTTTTCACTTTTTTATCTTTATTAACTTTTTAATAATTTAAGTATCCTGTCATTCTGATACTAACTTATTATTAATGTATTATTACTACACTTATGTTCCTTCTCGCAAACATTTATTGTAGCTCAGCGGACAGAGCTGCTCTGAAACTGAATAATTAACTGACTAATGAGTAATTACGAGCCTCTGATGTGACATTAAACACATTTCATTATTTGTTGTTTGAGAAAAAGGACTGTGGCGCGTTCAGGTGACCCAAACTTACCCGGACAGCACAGCGTGGGAGCCCAGGCAGTCCACGGACATGGCGGTGGCCTGAAAACACGAGACAAAAGCAGCAGTGACAGTTTTTAATTTTAGCTAACGCCGTGTAATTTTCACTGTGCCTATTTTAGTGACAATCAAAATTCAAACAGAATTAAAATCGTCGAACTTCAGTTCAGAGAGATTTCCTCTCATTCAGAGCAGATGTGCTTTTCCCTGAATTAAACGTGAGATTAAAGACGAAGTAACCTTTGCTGCTGACACAACGAAGCTTTCAGGTGATATTAAATTACCCGATATGATCATTTATTATCAACTTGTTTCTGTTTATTTTACTATTACATATACAGATATTCAAAAATTATCAAAAATGTTTGGAGTCTGCGCTTTTAAAAGTGACCAGAACAACTATTCAAGCACCTGAATTACTGATTAACTTCGGTGCCACATAAACAACTCCATCGATTAATCGATTAAAAACATTCAACTGGATCGATCTACAACAAACACTAAGAAGAAGTCCGGGTGATTAAAAAAAATAAAATAAAATAAGATAAATAAATAAATAACAAAAAAAAAAAAAGTCCGGGTGATTCAACTTGGACTGAGCAGTTTTCTCTTTTACGAGACTTTGAACGCTCCCTGACCTGCGCGCGCAGGCGCTTTGTACAAACATGAAATTAAAAATATAAAAATAAAAATAAATAAAAAAAGAAAGAAAAACTCACCTGGGCGTCTCTAAACTCCACCACAACATTCTCACTGCTCCAGCGAGCCGCCATCTTTCTCCCTCTCCTACCGTCAACAAACACCACGTGACGCTAAAGTGACGTGACGTTCAGGACAGTGGGAACAACACGCAATAACAGCCGCGATCTGTTCTATATAATTACTGTATATAAAATATGAGTTACATTAATACATCGATTAAAATAATACACGAATTAAATAAGAAAACAAACGTTTCACTTTTTTAAAAACAACTTTAATGGTTAAGTTCAACTTTCCCACATGAATGACGTGTTTTCGGCTTCTACGTGTCACGAGTGTTTCCCCTCTCTTCTGATTGGTCGCTCCCGCTGCTGTTCGCCAAACCAAGATGGCGACCACCCTGGTAGAGCATGTTGTCGCAGATGCAGGAGCGTTTTTAAGGAAAGCTCCTCTCCAGGTGAGTCTGTCCCTCCTGATACAGGTGGACCGGGTTGTGAGGGTGTGATTGACCCGGGAGAGGGGCTTCAGAGACCGGGGGGAGAGGACTCAGCGTGGAGCTGGAGGCCAACAGGTCCCCGACAACAAACCGAGAAACCGGATCGTCTTCTGCTTTCACAGGGACAATAAATGATCCAGGACCATAAAACTGAGTTAAATGTGTTCATCTGGTCCCGGATCTTTAATGTCGTCCAGAGAAAGGAGATCTGGATCAATGGTGTTCAAAGCATCACCGGATGCTGTAGTTCAGGTTTAAACGTAGATGGACAGGTTTTTGGTCCGGATCTGGTCTCTGTTCTCAGACTGTTAAAGGAGAAAAAAACCGTGTTTAGTAAAATAAATATTCACTGGAACTTTAATAAAGATTTTAGCTTGAAGCGCATTAAAAAAATGAATTCTGGCTGCTGCCACGATAAAGATGAGGCTGAAGCTTCCCGATGTTATCTCACTCTGTTGGTTTTATTTGGTAGGAAATCGGCAGGAATATCTACACCCTGAAAGATGTGGTGGAAGAGATCCGAGACAAGCCCACCAGGAGGAGCCTGGCCTTCCTGCCGTACCAGCTGCACTTTAAGGAACCTCATCCAGAGCACATCAGACACGGTGAGCGGGCGTCTGAATCCCAAACCTCTTGTAAAGGTGTGATTTAACATCCTGGTGTCTGTTTTCAGTGACAGAGTTCTCCAAGAAGACCGGGGACTATCCGAGTCTCTCAGCCACCGACATCAAAGTCCTGGCTCTGACCTACCAGCTGGAGCTGGAGAACGTGGGCTCGCAGCACCTGAGGAAGGAGCCAGAGGTTAAGGTACCTGCAGCACACAGACTGGCGCTCCTGTTTGCTGTTTATTCCTAATGTGTTTAATATTTATGTATATTTTTACTCCTGTGCAGTTAGCCTCGCGTGTTCATTGCACCCATACTTTGGTTGTACAATCCCAATAAAGGGTTGTTCTATTCTATTCTATTCTTGACTCTGTACAGCAGACACGTAGAAGTTTAACTCCACACTGTGATAAACTCAGACTCCTCTGGTTATTTTCTGATCCAGGTGAACATTCAGAGCACGCAGCGCCACCCCGAGACTCCGATGAACGTCGCCGGGTTCCACTTTCCTTCCAAGGTGAGAGTCGGACGCTCGTGTCAGCCGTCAGGCCGGCGTGCAGACAGGAACGTTTTCTCACTTTGTGTTTGCGTCTTCAGAAACCTGCGGACAGCACGATTGTCCAACAGACGGAGACGGAAAAGAAGACGCCGAACGAGACCAACGGCGACGAGTTCAACAGCTTCCAGTTCTGGAGGGAGCCGCTGCCGGCCATCGATGACGAGCTGCTGGGTTTACTGGTGAGGAAAGAAACACAGCTCTGTTTGGTTCGATCGTAGATGTTTTGAGACAGTAGCTTTAGAACTTTCTGTCGTTTAATTTTTGCATCTTTTCCTCATAATGTGAAATTATTTTAATCAGGAAACCAAACTTGAGAGATTTAGGAGAATCTGAACGTCACAGGCAGAAATACTCGACTCCTTTCAAAGTGTTTAAAAAAGTTATTTCCTTTCTTGTAAATCTCTCGTTTCTTTACGCTGTCAGTTAAAATTGGGGAAAATCTGACGATGTACCTTCTGCTGACCTTCGTCTGTGCTTAGTTTTTAAAATACACAATTTTGAGCTTTGTTCTGATGTTGTTTCGGAGCTCGTCTTCATTTCCTCAGACTTTTTCTATTCTTTTGTATTTTTGATGCGACAAACGTTAAAAGCACGATAAGTGACGGTCTGAGACTTCATGCCGTGGCGAGAGGACGAGGAGCACCTGGACCTCACAGTCTCACCGACTCTCGCTGTAACGACTTCCTCAGAGGGTTTTAAATCCCTCTGCTGACACAGACGTCTGTGTTTGCACAGATAGTTTCAATGCTCAGAACCTTTCCTCTGTGAACGTGTCTTAAAGCGATCGTAGAAAACAGGCGAGAAGCTTCAGAAACCGAGCCGAGCTGCCTTTGTTACAAACACATACACAATCTCTCTGCCACTGATGAAACCAGCTCCATTATTCTGACTGTTCTAAGACCAAAGAAGCAGAGTTTAAAGTAACATCCACAGAATAAAATCATGGAGGACGGACTCTGTGAGCTGCATGTGTGAATGTCTGTCCCCTCCCACAGCCAGTGGCGTGGTTCCACCTCTGAGCACAGAGGTTTTGTGGTGCTGTGTCTTTACTGGGTTTTTTCCTGTGAAAACATGTGGAACTGGTTTGGAACATCGTGCAGTGGTTGTTAGTCCTCCACACTGAAGGGAGCCAGCTAGGGTGCTTTGGGGGTCCGACCAGAAAACCTGCAGCGCTGCAGGTTAACTGTTTCACCCAGGACAGAACCAGGACACACTGGAGAGGTTAAAGCTCGCAGCTGGGTGGAAATTCCCGAGAAAATGTCTGAAGAGAGGAACATCTGTTTTCCCCGGCCACTAAGGATGGATGGACAGACAGATGGATGGAGGCATGGGTGGATGGATGGACGGAGGCATGGGTGGATGAATGGAGTTGGGTGCCGTGTTGTTGGAAAAGAGATTGTGTCTCCAGGTTGTGCACGTAAACACAGCGTGTGTGTTATCGCTGCTGCTCTGTCAGGGTCCAGCGGAGGGTTTAAAATCGAGCGGCGGACAGAAACAAGCGGACACACGGACGACTTCGGACGGAGACCAGTTCAGCAGCTTTCTGTTCTGGAGGGATCCGCTCCTGACCTTCAGCGATGAGCTGCTGGGTTTACTGGTGAGTTGAAAGGAAGAATGTTTTCATGCTGGGAGTCTCGTAGAGCAGCTTTGCATGATTCACAGTTCAGAATAATCCTTTGTGTTCCTCTGAGCCTCGGTTCAGCCCCTCAGTGAGCGCTTGTGGCTGAGTGTGACCGGCTGCAGTTTGCAGGAGACCTCGTTCATATTTAAAGGAGCCTCCATGAGACTTTGAGGGCTGCAGGCGTCTTTGTGTTTGCATGGTTTCACACGCCAGTCAGACTCTAGTGCATCAGTGCATTACCCTTTTATTTCTGTTGTTGTGTTGCAGCCTCTGAACTTCATGTACATGCCCACCACCTCCACCTCCTGCAGCACATTTCAAGAGAAAAAGTAGTTCAAGTGTGATCTGAGGTCTTATTCTTGTAATGTGTAAATAGTGAATCGTGTGGAAAACGTTCCTGACGTTTATGGCGTGGGATAAACAGGGTTTCCTCCTCAACATCTCCCCGTAGGAAAGGATGCATGTGAGAGGAAGCAAGGAGACAAAGGAGGAATTTTACATCTCTCACTGAGTCATAACTTCTGTCACCTGTCAGACTGCAGTGATGATGATGATGATGATGATGTTTGTTTACAGAAAGAGGGCAACGAATCACCACAGACAGAGGAGAGGGCGGAGCAAAGGGCGTCGGCGGGCCAATCGGACGACGAGGACAAAGAGAACGAGCCTGATGACGAAGTTGACGAGGAGGACGATGACGATGGAGGAGGATGGATCACTCCCGGTAACATCAAAGAGGTGAAAATGGACTCCGCTGATTGGACGGCTCCAGCTGACATCAAAGTCGGCTGTCTCACCACCGACTTCGCCATGCAGGTAACGGATGCAGACGGTGCATTCGCTGTTTTTCACCTTCTGTCTAAAGGTTTGTGTGAATGGTTTCAGTAAACCGCTGCGTGAATAAATATTCTCCTGCTTTACGCCGGACTTCAAAAAGCTTTCGCTGTCTGTGTCCCAGAACGTTCTCATTCAGATCGGACTTCACGTTCTCTCTGTGAACGGGATGCTGATCAAGCAGGCGAGGAACTACATCCTGAGATGTCACGCCTGCTTCAAGTGAGTCCGAACAAAGTTAACAAAACCTCTTCAGGCTGAAAGGGAGGCAGCTCGAATCCGTTCCAGCGAAAAATACAAAACACGACATTTAAAACATTTAAATTTATATCAAGAGTAGAATAAAGGTGCTGAACAAGTGAAAATGTCAGGACTGCTTTATTAAAAGAATAAAGATAAATTAATACATAAATAAAATGGACAAAGTCAATGAAAGGAATAAAATAAATAAATAAATGTATTAAATTGCTGCTTGAGTAGGTTAAAATAAAAATAATAAAACACAGTAAAAATGATGCTTACATAGAAAAATATAATAAAGGTGCTCCAGAGATACAGATGTAAATAAGGTCAAAATAAAACATCATGTAAAAATCTGAATATAATCCATTAAAGTGGCTCTACACCAGGGGTGGGAGGGCCGGCGTCCTGCAGGTTTTAGATCTCACCCTGGGTCAACACACCTGAATCACATGATTAGTTCATTACCTGGTTTCTGGAGAACTTCAGGACATGTTGAGGAGGTCATTTAGACATTTAAATCAGCTGTGTTGGATCTAAAACCTGCAGGACTCCGGCCCTCGAGGCCTGGAGTTCGCCCACGCCTGCTTTAAGAAAAAGCACAGATGTTAAAGTGGATCAGAACGATGGAGCGTGGAGTGCAGGGTTGGAACAAACCTAACATGAGAGGACAGATGTTCTTCAGACGGACAGATGTTAGTGACCTGTCCTGTTCTTAGAGGCTGTAAGGAGAATAAAGCGAGGGGTTGCCCGTCCAGGAGCATTGACCTGTTAAATGTTTCGATTCCAGGACGACGAGCGACATGAACAAAGCTTTCTGTCCTCACTGCGGGAACAGAACCCTGAAGAAGCTGGCGGTGACGGTGAACGAGGATGGCAGCATGCAGATGCATTTCTCCAAAAACCCCAAAGTGTTGAACCCCAGAGGGCTCCGGGTGAGACGCGGCGTTTTATCACTTCTAAAATGACTCTGCGTTCGCATCTGCAGCGTAAATCGTTTTTTCAGACCGCTTCAGTTCTGCCTGAGTCGGGTCTAAACGTCCTAAACATGATCGCTGCCGTCTTGTGTTTCAGCACACGCTGCCTCTGCCTCAGGGGGGGAAACACTCCACCAACCCCCAGCTGGTGGAGGACCAGCGCTTCCCCCAGCAGAGGCTCTCCCGGAAGGCTCGCCAGAAGACCGATGTCTTCAACCCGGACTACGTGGCCGGAGCGTCGCCGTTCTGTGAGAACGACATCTACAGCCGAGCCGCCAACCTGCAGATCAGAGACGGCCAGTGTGGCGGCGGCAGGAGGCGGGCCAACCCCAACGCCACCCGCAGGAAGTTCATCAAGAAGAAGTAAAGATGGCGAGCATGCATCGTGTTTAAATTAAAGGACCGGACCGTCATTTCCCAAATCATCCATCGGCTCACGTGCGACAGATTAACTCACCAGGTCTTCTGGTGCGTTCATGGACAGTCAGACATCCAAGACACGAGGATTAACTACAGCTCTAAACACGGTGTTCAAAGCAGAAGAGACGCGCGTGACAGCCAGAGGAAGTCGATGACACTCGGCGACACACGGGCGAATTAACTGCTGGCAGCACGAGTGACTCTAACAATACCAGCTCCAGATTATTACAGATTACATAGCATCCCTTATGGAACGAGCCAGAATAATAAATACATTAAAAGTGTGTGAAATTTCACATCGGTGTCTGTTTCTGCTCATTACCTCCACCACAGAGGCAGGAGCGCGCTCGGTCTGCAGGGCGGCGACGTGATACAGAGATTCTGCTACATATCAGGATTTCTGTGAGTGAAGAAGGAAGAAATAAAGCTCTGCTCCTAAACACTCGCTGCTGGAGACGTTTCTCCTCCAGTCGATTAGATGAAGGATGGCAGAGGTGGATGAACATCTGTAAGAGCAAACGGCAGTACTGAACGGACCAATAACGGTCACTCTGGGTTACACGGCTACAGCGTGCAGGTGCACATCAGGTTCAGGGTTTAAACAACGACTAAGGTGTAAATCCTCCTTCCTTCAAATTTTGCCAGACGTAATATTCTTATTAAAATATTTGTTTTAGAGAGCAGTGAAACCTTTCACAGCGAGTCTGCTTGAACTACGTTATAGTTTCCAGCTCAGTGTTTATGGCTGATCTTCAGTATTTTACATCTTTATGATAAAAACATCATCATGAGAAACATTTCTAACTGTCCTGTAACGTCGGGGTCCTGCACTGAAAAACGCAAACCGACTTCTCTGCAGTTTTCACTTTGTAAAGCCGGACCAAACGTGACCCTTCAGTGGGCTGCCTCTGGGGCCGAGGGCCACATGTTCGACATAAATAAACTTTATTATTGATTACAATTTCATGCTTTGGCGTGTGGTTAACACCACTGTGTGCCGCATAGTGCTGGACCTTTTACGCCTTTATCTTCTCGTTGCACCTTGTGAGTCACTGAAGTTGTGCCAGAAATGCTGTGTTTCTATGGTAACACAGCATTACATCATTGAATTGTCCCGTCGCCGTCTGACAGTAAAATACACAAAAACCAACGATTCAAACACGACGCAGAGGGAGAACATGATCACTGGAAGGTTTATATTTTTAAACAGGAAAATAAGACCTAACAGGCAGGTGTAGTAAGGCTGTTAGTTGGTGGAAGTAGCGTCCACGAGGTGCTCACCTGTAGATCTGTGAAGGTGGAGATCCTTGAGTTTATCTTCAGATATTCCAGACAGGTGGAGATCAGCTCAGACTGACCGTGACTGTGCAGAAACTGCAGTACGCTCCTTTAAACATGAGACTGACTCGTCAATATAATTGATCTTTATTGATTTCCAATGAATCTTTGAATCAAAGTGAAAGATTTAAGTGTCCAGACAGTTTAACAAACCCACCATGTAAATCAGACACAGCTGACGGACTACAACTCCCAGCTGACGGACTACAACTCCCAGCTGACGGACTACAACTCCCAGCTGCCTCAGCAGAAAAAGCTCAAAGATGAGGCCGACGCTGGATGAAAATGCAGAGTCAGTTTCTGCCCTTCAGGACTTTCCTATAATAAACCAAACTTTTGGTTTTCTCACATTTCTGACACGTTACCAGGAAAACACAAACATTCAGTTTTTCCTTCTTAAAGGACGAGAACGAGCTGAAGATCTCCGGGAGCAGAGTTAAAATCAGGTGGACTCCATCATCGATGGAAAAAGAAGCAAACTAAACTATTTGCTTATTTTCCTTCTACGTTAGTGAGTAAACCTTTAAATAAGAGAAGAAATGTCACCATTAAAGCCTTTTTCTCACATATATAAAAATATTTTAATGCTTCAGTTTTGACAGATGTCCGTCACAGGATACAGTTTAGAGCCAGCGTTTCCTCGCCTTCACTCCTCGTCCTGCTTCGGCTCTTTAAACTCTGTCTTTGTCAGTTCAGCTCCGGGTTTGGAGTCTCTGACATCGGATGGGGTCGGCGCCGTTCTTTGGGCTCCATGTCAAACGTCAGGCTGCTCAATTCTGCCGTAATGTCGACCTCTGGCACCGGCGGCTCCTTCTGAGGAAGCAGGAAGTCCAGAGGCTCGAGGACTGTGGCGAGGTCGATGGAGCCCAGATGGCCGTACTTGTGCAGCTGGGTGGGAGGAACACCTGCGGAGAGACAACAGATTTGATTCAGACCAAACTCTGCTGCTCAGCACTTCTTAAGCTATTTTAGCCATTACAAAGAATAACTTTGAGAAGAGAGTCCAGGGCAAAAAAAGAAAAAAGAGGTTAAAGATTTTTTCTCTTTTAAACTAATTTGTGAAGTTTTCTTCTCATTGACTGATTGGACCAAAAGTTTAACTTTACTACACAAAAAAAGCTTGTGTGGTGATTTTGTGGTTTTATTAGTCCCCCTACAGGCTGAAGCGGTCATTACTCCAAATTCAGACCATGGTTTCACAAATGTCCCAGTGGCTACGCCCATCTTTTATGTACAGTCTACCATGTACGTTCATGCGGTTTCCAGCCCGAGACCGAAGGTGACCAACAAGAACAACAACGCAAGGACAACAGTTTAAACTGAGACCGCATTATTGGAATAACGGCTTCACTTCCAGGCCCGTCGTTAAACGTCTTCAGCATCACCGCGTCCGTTTTAAACGAAGAAACAAACTCAGACGTTGCTGCGAGTCCTCACCCAGGATGAGAGCGAGCTGAGCCGGTGGAAACAGGACCTGCAGGCAGCGGTTCAGGAAGGGCAGCAGGTCTTCAGCGTACGCACAGCAGAACTGAATAAACAGCTCCTTCTCCCGGCTGCTGAAGGCCGTCTCCTCCGCCCGGTGAAACACCAGAATCTGACGGGTCACCTGACAAAAAACGACACCGTCAGCAGCTGTTAATCCAGCATCAGTCTGACTTTAACCCAGATTACACCAAAGATCCAGCTGCTCACCATCTTCAGGGCTTCCTCCAGGCATTTGGTGACATTCTCCACCACTCCGATGGGGCAGCAGAGGCGGAGGTCGTTGAAGGCGGTCAGGATGTTGTTGAGAAAGCAGGCGAGCGGCTGGAAGTCCAGCAGGGACATTGGGGGCTGCAGGGTGCCGGGCTGCGGGGCGGGGGCTACGACGGGGATGGTCCCTGCCAGCACTGAGGGCAGGGCGATGAGGGTGTACAGGTTCATGTCCTCCTGGAACTTTTCCACCGCCTCCTTCACGGCTCCGCGGAACGTGTCCACCGCCACCCGCTGGAACATGGGCGCCAGCTGCCCGCGGAAGTCCGCCCCCACCCTGCTGAAGGACAAACCGAAGTACATGCACTGACCCAGCAGGGAGTCCAGGCGGCTGCCCACACCCCGCTGCAGGTCCTCTCTAAGGTCTCCAGGAACTCTGCCACCTTGTGCACCACCCAGCCGTGGAAGATGGCGCCCTCGTTCACAGCCATGAGCCCACCGGCGGGGGCACTAGCGGGTCCTCGTCAGAGAAGATGGGTGGGTGATGATGTCAAACATGTGCACCCTGCA